AAATTTTGCATCAGCACAGACACTTAACTGAAGACCGTAGGCAGAGACATCAGCTGTATCATTGTCTATTTGCTTGACATATGACACCTAGAAATGATAGAAGTATAAGCGAGACAGCATGAATGACTCGATGAATGGAGTGGTGTCTGCGATTCTGCAACACCTCAAATCTATTATCTGTGGTGCAGATCACATATTTACTGAAAGTGCTTGATTGTGTTATCTGCGACAGTTTGAGAACTCGATGTCATGTCTGGATCACGTGCTGTTAGTTGTCCTACGTGTGTTTGATGTTCATCTTTCTAAGTTAGTTGACAGGATAGATACCAATAGAATTATGTGAGAGGCAGATTCCTGATGTCTTCGTAATGAAGTGTCCATGACGGAGGCATCACTCTGTTGTTTGCCTTTACTTGGACTACTGGTTACAACACACGTGGTGTAAGCAATGAGCGGTAAAATTGCATTACTAGATACATCACGTGGCGAGGTGGTAGCCTGCAGTGTCCTGTGTTTCTTGTGCGGGAATCAGTTCCAACATTTTTGCATCGCACGCACGCAGACGCACGCGCGCCCCCCACACCTACACACACACCCCTGGAATTTTAAACAAGCTACACTTATAAGTGGTGTAAATTTCTTGCTGAGTTGTTAAGGGCGTTGAAAACCTTCTGGTGACCAGCTGGACAAGTTCCCCTGATAGACGTTAATAAAACAGAATGAAGAACGCAGCAACTAAAACACCCCGACTGCTTTCCAGCGCCTGGAGATCGCACCTGCGGTAGTGAGGCCAGCTTGGTGTACGAAGCCTGGCTGAGAACTTGGGGAAGGCAGTAATGGAGTCCAGTTTGTCTTGCTTCTTCATCTGTTTATTAAGCTCACCAGGAACTTGTCCAGCTGGTCACCAGAAGGTTTTCAAGACCCTTAACAACAGCAGAAATTTATCAAACTTTATTAAGTGTTAGCTTGTTAAAAATTTCCGAGGATCTCATGTGTGTGTGTGTGCGTGCGTGCGCGCGCGTGCGTGCGTGCGTGCGTGCGTCAAAAATGTGACTGATTTCCCTGCCAAGAACACACTGGTACACTGCAAGTGCATTTACGCATGTTTACACCACAGTGTGTGTAACAGTAGCCAAGTAAAGCAAACACAGATGTGTGTGTGTGACAGGAATTCCTCCTCACTATCTATTGTATCTCATCCTGTCAATAACTTAAAGATGACATCAAACACGTCAGGACAACAACGCAGGAGACATGACATCACGTCTCAAACTGTGCAGATACACATCAAGCACTTCAGTAAATATGTGATTGCACCACAGATAATAGATGTTGAGGTTGTTGCAGAATTGCAGACACATATATCAGATATTCTGCTGTCTGATACTTTATCATTTCTGGTGTCATATGTCAAGCAAATAGACAAATGATACAGCTGATGTCTCCTCCTACAGGTCTTCAGTGTCTGTGCTGATGCAAAATTATACTGAAGTTATGGCTCATTTGTTGAGTGTAAACCTACAAAAACTATTTTATATTGAACAAAACAAGCAAAATGTGTGACGTGCATCTGTGTTCAGTGTTGAGTTTGTCTGTATTTATTTAACAACATCACCAACATTATATACATGAAAAATATCATATAAAATAGGGAACCAAACTGACAATTCAATTTGAGCAAAGCAAACTTTCTTTTTTTTTTCTTTTTTTTTTTTTTTAGCAAATTTTGATATTTTGAAGCTAAAAAAGTCAAAAACAACTTTAGGTTCATAACATTTCGCATCACTGGGGACTCATGGTGGACATTTTTTGCTATTTGCTGACATTTTATAACAAACAAACAATGAATCTAATATGCAGCAAGTTATCAGTAATTGAATCAGTTATTTAAATTATCATTCGATGCAGCCCTGTTTACAACTAAAGAAACCCCAGTGAACCTGAAGAATGAGAGACATGGTTGAAAGGTCTGACAGACAGACAGACAGACAGACAGACAGACAGACAGACAGACAGACAGACAGACAGACAGACAGTCTGTCTTTCACTGCACATCAGTCCACTTACTTTCACTCTCTGTGTTATAGAGACAGATGTGTGTTTCTGTCAGTTCTGTGTGAGTGTTTAAGTGCAGACAGAGTCGGACTGCAGGCCTCTTCATGCTGCTGTTTGTCTTTCTCTTTCTCTCTCTCTCTTTTTCTCTCTCTCCACTTTGCTACTATGTTTTGTCTGCCTCGTTCGCCCCGTCTACCTCCTGTCATCCCCTGGTGCGGCGCTGCCTCAGCCCTTGTCTTTCACTCAGACGTCTCTTTAACATAACAACCTCCTCTGTCTTCTCACCTCCTCTCCACCGTCCTTTGCTGTTCCTCCCTGCGCCCGTCAGTCTCTCGTCTCTGTCTAAACATTCAACACTCTCCGAAAAACTCTCCAGTTATAGTTTCTCTGAACATCGTCGATGTGTTTTATTTCCAAACTCGTCAGGATGCTGCGTCTTCACAGGATGTTCCAGTGTTTTAAGAATGACTGACTAAAGGTCAACACCTCTCATTCAGGTGTAAACACTGACATCGGATTCATGTCACTGTGTTTTGATCTTTATAACATGTTGCCCTAGTCGGCTTTGATCAGCTTTGTTGTTGAAGGTCAAAGGATAAAAATAATAATTAATAAATAATTAAACATTTTCTTATTTTTCTAATCTTCTTTTAAATTTGACTGATTTTATAACATAATTATATAAAGAGCTCTCCGTCCCCTTCTGTGCCGCAGATGGCCAGTATCCGGGCGGAGAAGACGTTTCCTCCCTGCGAGTCGGACAACCCGGAGGACCAGGTCAAACCCATGCTAGACTGGGCCAACGGTGGCTTCCAGCCCAAAGGAGAGGAGGGACTCAAACCTACACACAGCGCCAGTGAGCAAAGCAGCAGGGCTACACTGTTTATCCTAAATTAACCAGGGAATAAGACTGAATCTGATCTGTTTGTGTGTCTGTGTGTGTCCCCTGCAGACAGCAACCCTCTGGACCACCAGGTCCTCGATGTCTCACTGCCAGAGTATTTTCCCAGCGCAAAGCGGCCAAGAGTCGGCCTGTGTAAGAACAAGGCCGCCCCTGAGGAGTCCTACTGCAGAGGTAGAGGTCAAAAGTTAAGCTCACTCAACATCATACAAAATGTATATTATGTATATAAATATTTTGAAAATGTAGTCTCTGTAAATTTTTATGTTTTACCTTTAGGTTATAGCGTTTGCTTTTTATCCTTTCTAATCTAATCCTTTAATGTTAAGTACAATTTGTTCTGTACATTTGGTAAAACAGAAGTTTACGTTCAGATTTTCAATATGACTTGCTGCCTCGTTTACACCAGTACAAATACACTCATACTCATTAATTAGAGATTTAAAAGTGTTGAGGTCAGCTGGGATATACAGGTGTTAGTGTCTCTGCCTGTTGTCTGTTAGAAGTATAAAAGAGGAGCTGAAATTGTGCATGAAATGTGCCACTTTTTAACACTGTTTTTCCTTTTCCCTCAGAACAAATGGTCAATGAAGTTCGGATGAATAAATGTAGTATTGAAGGTAAAGACTCACACATTCACATTGTGTTTTTCTGTGACTGTGAATTATTTGTGAGTTATGAACTGTGTCGTTTCATTTCTATTTACTTTCATTGATGTGTGCGTGTGTTTTGGCAGAGTTCTGTCTCTCCTGTGGAAAGATGAGAGCAGCAACCTTCCACCCACTGTTTGAAGGAGGCCTGTGCCAAACATGCAAGGTAGAGCAACACAAGTGTGTTTTTTTTTCCATCATCATTAATATGTCTCAGTGTCTGAGTCATGAATCATATTCTAAACCAAATGAACCCCATAATGATAATATTAACAATAATAAACACAAGTATATCAATAATGTTTGGAGCCTTTAAACGCTCTCATACATACAAACAGGTTTTGACCAGTGTCGGCTTCCAGAGGCTGATATTGATGCCAGTAAAATGAACTTGTCATCAGCTGATATCTCCAGAGTGAGTGCTAAATGCCAGAGTCATAAAACCAGTCATGTCAGACACATAAACTAGTCGGTTCATGCCCTCAGCAATTTGAAGCCTCTGGGAATAAAGAGTAGGCGGAAGTGAATGCAGCATGTCTGCCAGACTCCACTGGCCAGCTCTTGACTCTGTGCTCAGCCATGTTTGTCCTGCTTGTGATGCATTCAAATGCTCCTTTTTAACAGCAGACATGTTGGCTTGTCATAGTAAGAGAAGCACAGGTGTAATTCTTTCACACACAGAGACGTCCCGTCACTTAACAAACACATTTTGTCCCGACTGTTGCCTGGTGATATTTGGTTGAATGGACCTGATGGACACTCCTGGCAAATGTGTAAAGTTGCCTTAATACATATTTGCGTGTGTGTGCGCGTGTGTGTGTGTGTGCGTGTGCGTGTGCGTGTGTAGGATGTGTACCTGGAGATGTCCTACATGTACGATGACGACGGTTACCAGTCTTACTGCACCGTCTGCTGCGGAGGTCGAGAGGTTCTGCTCTGTGGCAACGCAAACTGCTGCAGGTCAGACACGCATGCACACGAAGAAACAGTACATGCCGCACATTAACTATTTCTCTGCCAATGTGCGTCTGCGTGCATGTGTTCACCACCGTCTGTCTGTCCGTCCACCTCCAGGTGTTTCTGCGTGGACTGTCTGGACATCCTGGTCGATCCTGGAGCATCTAACAACGCTCGCTACTTGGACCCGTGGAGGTGCTACATGTGCCAGCCGCTGCTGCAGTACGGCGTCCTGAAGCGGCGACACGACTGGAGCCTCAAGCTGCAGGAGTTCTTCGCCAACGACAACGGACAGGAGTTTGTAAGTCACTTTGGTCTGTTTCAAGATGTTTCATATAAGAATGGGCAAAAATGGAATGATCAGCAACTGTTGTGTTGCTTTTTTCTCATTTAAAATATCTATATACACTATATCAACTCCTGTGTGTTTGTTGTTTTGTGAATTTGTAAATATATTTTCATGCTATATATGAGGAGTTCACAAAGTAGGAGTTGGGACACTGAGTAGATGCAAAATGAAATAAAATAGGGAATAAGAAAAGATAAGAAAAAGCATATTTGTGGCACACAAATATTTTTTTCTAATCTTTCCCTGCAATTTTTTATCTTTATCTTCAAGGAGAAACCAAAGATTTACCCAGCAGTCCCTGCAGAGCAGAGGAGACCAATCCGAGTCCTCTCCCTGTTTGACGGCATTGCCACCGGTGAGAATGAGTGTGTGATGTATTCGTGGTGATGTGTCGACCGTTTGATGTGTTCTTCATCTAAAAAGCAGCAGATCATCATGTGAAGCTGTGTCTTGTTGTTTCCGTTCCCAGGCTACCTGGTTCTGAGGGATCTGGGTTTTAAGGTGGACCAGTACGTGGCGTCAGAGGTGTGCGAGGACTCCATCTCAGTGGGCGTGGTCAGACATGAAGGAAGGATCCAGTACGTCCATGACGTCAGGGACATCACCAAGAAAAACGTAAGGAAGAAAATGTTTGTTTGACTGAGAACAGTCAACTGAAAGGATTCATTTTCTTCCATCAGGAACAAACTGCTCAAAATGCTCCTGTGGATCTGCATGTAACTGAAAACGTGACTTATACATTTTATGATATACATTTGGCTTTTATTGAAGACAAAGAGAGAGTATCTTGGGGGGGGGGGTTAGTTAGTAAAGGTTTTACTTTAACATGTACAAATACAAAGTCAACCTGAGTTTTGCTTCATCTAAAGCAAAACTACTGAAGTGTCTGTCATAGGTGACAGTAGGTGGGATTCTGATGCTGGTACTTAAGTATAAGTATCCTGCCAACCTCACTGGAGTTACTCCTGGCAAAAACCTCAAGTCGTTTCTACATATATGTTTACGCGTTAGTGCTCACACACACACACACACACACACACACACACACACACACACACACACACAACACACCAGACTGGCAGCTGCAGTGATGTAGTTTGGGGCAGAGGACAAAGAGCAGCTTCAACCTCTGTAAATCCCCTCAGGAACCCTTTCACTTGTTAGTCACGCTGTGTGTGTGTGTGTGTGTGTGTGTGTGTGTGTGTGTGTGTGTGTGTGTGTGTCGGGTTCATGCCCCTGTTCTCTATTATCTCTTATGTAAGAGATTAATAAGAGCATCCCACCCCTAACTTCTTCTTCTCTTTCTCTCTCTCTCCCTGTTTCCTTTCTTTCTATTCAGCTCTCTTTATTGTCTTGGGGGGGGGTGTAAAGGGTAAAAGATAACAAAGCAGATGAGTGAGCAGATGTTAAATTAGTAGTTGTGTGCCTGTCGCAGGTGAAATGAATGAATGACATTTAGAACTGAAACAATCAGACAAATAATCAAGTCAATCAATAAGTCAATCATCAGAAAATGTATTTTGATTATCAAATAATCAGAACGTTAAAATGTCCAAAAGTCACTGGTCTAAGCTTCTTAAATATGAATGTTTTTTTCTTGGTTGTCTTGTCTTGTCTCCGGACTGTTGGTCGGGCAAGGCAAGAAATTTAAAGGCATAAACTTGGGCTTTGCAAAGTTGTGATATATTTTGTTGTATTTTTCGGACATCTTATGGACAAAACGATTAATCAATTAGTCAGGAAAATAATCGACAGATTAATCTATGATGACGATAATTGTAAATTGCAGCTCTAATGACGTTTGGACTTTACTTATTGAGGGCATACACTCAAAGAGAAATCATCTGCATGCAGAAAAAGTTTAATGAAAATAATTAACAAAATAGAAAAATAACTTCATTTTTTTTGTCAGTACTGGATTATTCTGGGTAATAAAACCTCACTGTTTTGTAAGTAAAGTTGTAGAAGATGCGTACAGTATTCATAGTATGTCATTAATGAGTTTCCCTTATACACTGTCATTTTGTTGTTATGTCACTGAGTCTAACACTAGGTGGTGCTCTCGTCTCTCTCAGATTCTGGAGTGGGGTCCGTTTGACCTGGTGATAGGGGGAAGTCCCTGCAACGACCTCTCAATAGTCAATCCTGCAAGGAAAGGCCTGTATGGTAGGTACCTGCCAGAGGGAATTATATATTAGACTTCTGATTGTGACTTTCATCATAGAAATGGTAGCTGACATTGTAGCGATGATGGAAATGATGTTGTATCCATTTTAAATGATGTTTTTTAGTAAATTGCTGTTCATTCAAAAGCACTCATGTAGTGCTGTGTTTGAGCAGTGAATGGGTACGGAGGTTTAATCCTGCATTAAAGTCTACTGGAAACCTTAGTCATTTGAATTTCATTATTATGAGATAAGGTGAATACTTATAGTCTCTCATGATTGTCTAAACTACTATCTCTGATGCTTTCCTTCTCTGTGGGTACAATTCTTAGGAAAAAAAGATGCTTTTTCAAACTGAGTATTAGGGAGATATGCCATGTGTACTGAAGCATTCAGGCAGTTCGGTGAAGTTTTTTTACGGACTCTGATCATGTTTTGTTGCTCTAGAAGGCACAGGGAGGTTGTTCTTTGAGTTTTACCGTCTGCTGAGCGAGGCCAAGCCCAAAGAAGGAGAGAACCGGCCGTTCTTCTGGATGTTCGAGAACGTGGTCGCCATGGGCGTCAACGACAAGAGGGACATCTCACGATTCCTGGAGGTGAGTCACATGGACTGTGGAGTATAAACAGCTGTAAATATCTAATACATTAAAATCTTTTTCATATACTGTATATCAGATGACAAAGTTAAAGACCTAATCCTTACAAACATTTATACACTTAAACAGCTTAACAACAAAAAAAGTTGCATGTCCCACAGCCTAAATTTCTGAATTCCCCTTTGGTGCGCTGGTGGTTGTTTGTTTGTTCAACAACAAAAAGAGTTATTTTTATGAGTTCTGTGAGTTTATGAGTAATCACCATGTTTCTTTGTGTTTTTTTGTTTTTGTTTTTGTAGTGTAACCCCGTCATGATTGATGCTATTGAGGTTTCCGCTGCTCACCGTGCCCGATACTTCTGGGGAAACTTGCCAGGCATGAACAGGTGGGCGAACTCTTCACATTAAAAATGTATCCGAGTCCCAGTTTGTCAGGGAAAAACAGACATGTTGACTCTAAACACTGGTGGGTTTATGTGACTTGTCATCGTAGGATCCATTCAGTTTTAAACATTTGCAGAGTCTAAGGATAAAATGTGCACTGTGTTCTGCTCAAAAAACAATTTTAAATTCTGCGTGACAGTGTGTAGGACTAAATGTGATTCCTCCTCTCTATTTCAGGCCTCTCTGCGCCTCTGGGATGGACAAGCTGGAGCTGCAGGACTGTTTGGAGCATGGCAGAGTTGCAAAGGTCAGAAATCCACAGAATAAGTCAATGATGAAGAAATATGTTTTTTTCACCCTTTGCAGTACTAAATTGCACAGTGGCTACTTGGTTGTATTAGTTTGAATGTGTATCTGTTGTCTCGTAGTTTGGAAAGGTGCGCACCATCACGACTCGCTCAAACTCCATCAAACAGGGGAAAGACCAGCACTTCCCTGTGTTGATGAACGGGAAGGAGGACATACTGTGGTGCACTGAGCTGGAGAGGTGAGCAGAACACACACACACACACACACACACACACACACACACACACACACACACACACACACACACACACACTCATGGCTGATAAGATCAAATATGAGTCTCATTTAGCTGGATGGTTACAATTTAGATGATATTTACATCAAAATCTTTAGTGTTACACAACTTTAGCATCATTGCGACACTGATTGTAATGGTTGTTGTGTATTTCTTCCCCTGCAGGATCTTCGGCTTCCCCGTTCACTACACAGATGTGTCCAACATGGGTCGCGGTGCCCGACAGAAACTCCTGGGCCGGTCCTGGAGCGTCCCTGTCATCAGGCATTTGTTTGCACCACTCAAAGACTACTTTGCCTGTGAATAGAAAACCACCCATCATCAGCAAACATATGCCACCTGTGAATACACACCAGCTTTTCTACTATGACACTGGCTCCCAGAAACAGCATCTGTAAAGAGCTGGAGGAAAAACAGCCAGTTTCACTTAAAAAAAAAAAAAAAAAAAATCAGTATAGCTGGGAAAATAGTGAAAGTAGCTGGTAGTTTGTGTCCAGCCATTTCTGGATTCTGGTGATAACGCACCTGTAGCCTTAAACACACATAACACACTAACACAGAGATATGCAGATACAGCACAGGTGAGCTCCTTGGCTGTGGTTTATCACTATATCCAACAGTGTCTGAGAGAGAGGGAGGGTGAAGGTCAAGTGAAAGTGCAGCCAGTCAGTAGCACTGATTATATTATCTGTAAAGGAGGCCAGTGGGCTGCTTCGCCTCTCTGGAGGAGTTAAAAGGGAAAGAAGATGACGCCCGCCCTCCTGTTTTGTCTGTTAACAGTAGGACTGTGTAAAGATTAATATGATTTTAATCTGATTTTTTTTTTTAGAAGGCATTGTTTTTAAGTTGACACCACTTACTAGTTGTAGAAAAAGGTGGAACAACACAGCACCAACGGTACAGCTTTTTAAAGTGGCTCTGTATCAAACCGTTTTATTGCTCATCCCTCCGTTTAACTGATACAGGCTGTTCATCTGAACAAAAACACTTTTAAGATCACTTGAACCAAAGTCATATGGACAGCTGAAGTCCTGCTCCCTCTGGGTAGGTTGTTTTTAAAACGCCAAAATATGATACTACTGTTTTATGCCCAAATTAGAATTAAGGTAATAAATATTCTACAACTGTACTGGACAGCAAAAGTCCAGCATCTCTTCTTAGCCAAGATAGAATAATAATTATTTTGTTTGCATACCATAACGACATATCCCATAAGCCTTAGCCACAGAAATATTGTGAAAGCCTCATGGGAGATGTAGTTGCTAGATGCTAACAAAATAGTCTTTTATCTTTTAACAGTGCTCTTGTACCTATTTAGATTCAATTATGAAAAGAAACATTAGCTAGTCTCGTGTTTGAGATTTTTCAAAAGGCCAGTGAAGGAAAATACATTGAGCACTGCAAGCTAGTGGACCAGACCTGGACATGAGACGTGTTGGTTTTATACTTAGATTAGGTTTTATTTGTTGTTTGTTGTAAAAGAAAAAAAAACTACAATTTTACTTTTGTCTTTTGCTTTGAGACAAGTTCCAATGAGCAAAATAGCTTAGTTAAAAAAAAGAAAAAAACTTCTATTAAAGATTTTATAAACATGTTTTTGTATAGATAGTGTGAAACTTTGAGTTAAACAGTTATAATGTCACAGCAACTTCTCCCTGAGAGCTACATACAGATACTTGAAATAAGCCAATGCAAAAACAGAGATGTAGAGAATGAGTTTTTGTCTTTTGTCAACCATTCCAGACGTCTGAAAAATTAAGAGTGATGGCATTTATCCTACTGTAGATGTTTTAAAAATAAAATTGTTTTAGTGTACTCTAACAGCTGGATGCCAGTGTCTGCACATGTGGGTGATCCTGGTTTACAGCAGTTTCTATTCCAGAAAGGAAAAAAAATGATCGGAAACACTGGTGAACACACTATATTTTTGTAAACTAGCACTGACTACTTTTTCTTTAAAGGAGTTTTTCAGTTTCCAAAAAAATTAACAAGAGGAGTGGCATGAAAATAATCTCAATTGATGCTGGTTGATACTTTACTTAAGTCTGTGTGTTGCACATGCTTCACTATGCAGTATGTATAATGCTATTTAATGCTCTTAAAAAATGATAAAGATTGTTATCCACAATCCAGTGCTATAACAGAATTGTTACTGAATTGGCTAGTATATACATACATACTGTATGTTTAAGCATTAGCATGTTCACCACACAGAGCGATCTACTGGACAGTTAAATTTGGTACAGATTCTCTTGACTTGACCAGTGGACCAATCACACAAAAACCTGGCATAGTCCTTTGAAACATCTTTTTTGTTGTTGTTGTTTTGATAACTGGAAGATTTTTAATGCTGTTGGCTGCCACCAAATCAAACTAAATGGGCATTACCTCAGACAAAGGGGCAACTGTGCATCACTCCTCCTATGGGATCTCTGTTCTGTGAATATATACTGTAGCTTTCTGCTCCCATATGCCCTGTATATATAGCTTGTATTTTTATCACTGGAACTGTTTTTACACAGTGTTTTGTGTACTGTATCAATAGAAAGGTTTACAAGTGTTTTTAATTCTCATTTGACCAAGAACTACATTGTTTGTTTGTTTGTTTGTTTGTTTGTTTGTTTTTTTTATACAAAATGCACAAGCCTTGGTAAAGAACCTGTTTTTCATGTTTAAATGACCAGTTCATTTGGAAATGCAAGACTCCTATGTGATGGTCAAAAGGCTCTTAGAGTGCCACCAGGAACCTTTTTTACTTTTCAAGTCTGATTTTAAAGTCATCTGAAAAACCAAAAAGTAATTGTTTACATGCTTCATTAACACTGCTGAACCACAAAAAACAGTTTCTTTTCTTTTTGGTAACTGCTCTTTTAAGACATTTTATATCGAGAACACATATGGTATATATTAACACGGTATACAGCTTGCTTGAAATTTGTAATATTATAGCACAATATATAGCATATTAATCAATAGCTTTTTGATATCTTGTGTTTCTTAGATGTAAACCCATTCAGTGTATTTGTAGACTTGTGTATGAATGACATCTGAGAACTGTTTCTACTTTTTCTACTACAGCCTTTTGTGCTTTATCTTTTATCAGAATCACATTTGAGGATATTTTAAATGAATCTAAAGCGCAAAAGCATTTCTAAAGAACAGATTCTGTGCTATTTTTATACTTCATTTGAACTGTTAGTGGAAAAGCATTGATTTATTATTTTTTTTATGTTTGTGTACTTCCTATAGCAACCTATATATAATTTTTACCCAATAAAACACAGCTTGGCTGCTAAAAACCACTGACGTGTCTTGTTTGAAATGCTAATCCTTCAGTGTGTATTTTTCTTGTGTTTGAATAGTCTTCTGTGGACTGAAAGGCTTGTAAAGTTGAATAAGATTGCAAGTAGTTATTTAATTATTTGTTAATCCCCTTTTTTTTCAGACTGCATTAATTGGTTAATATATAAAATCATAGCAATAATGACAAATGCTGTATGATTATTATCATTATAAAGATCTGATCCAAGAACTGTAATTAAAATTGCTCAGATTTGGATTAATCAGGATTTCCTGCTAGGATAGGAGTGTAAAATCTGAGTTTCACTGACATAGAATTTGAAGTTTTCACTGATTTTTGCAGAGGATGTTGCCAGTTCACAGTACATACAATGGAAAAAATGCATTGGTCTTGATACAGAGCCTTGTGGTTCCCCACAAGAAAAAAACTATAATGTAAATGATGTGCTCTTGTTGTGGTCTGTAGTGTCAAAGACTACACTCAAGTAGAACTGGAAAGAACTTTTGTTCCCTTGGTTTTAAAACCAGAATGAAAAGCTCTGACTGGGGAAAGAGTGGCAAATTAAATTTATATTGGAATATTTTTTTAAGTTTTAGGGGGGCATTTTTACCTCTAATAGCAGCAGTAAGAAAGAGAGGAAAGTCGGGGAGAGAGAAAGGGATGACATGCAGCAATGGGACTTGAACAGCAAAATACTTGGACCACATGTTTGCTGGCTTTTGGCCCAGTATACGCCCGTTTCCACCTGGAATCTGGCCCATCTCTATACAGCATGACAATCAGATGCTACTTCCATATCTGTCCCAGTTCTGGTGCACATACAGAAAACCTTCAAGTTGTCAGGCAATACCAGAGGATAATTGACGGAATCTGCACAGATTTTGAAGTATATTTAACCTAGGCCAGACCCAGGCATATATCGGACCAGAATTTTCATTTTTCTACATAACCGATTTTACTAACTGAGCTTTGCTCAATTGCTAACTGATAACTGAGCCTAAACTGACAATTTGGAGTTAAACCGACAGAATCCAATAAAACAATTTTATAATACACCAGTCTTCAGCATCAACGCTGAATCAACTCCCCAACTAGCCAGCTGTATTTAGATGTCAGGGTCTTTTATAACAATTGACTTTGCTTTCTTGTCTTTCACTACACCATGTTAAAACATTAAATGTGGAATATGGTGGGGGCAGGAGCTGACGTTTGACCTTCGTTGAACCGAAACGTAACTGTTAATGAAAGTGTGAATATTTAAGATCCAGTACGTTAAAATGGTGAAAATGTGGTTACAACAATGGCCTTAATGTTTAACTTAAGCATTTGCAAAATGTCGGCTAGCGGCTAATGACTAGCGTAAGCTACAGTTAGCTACAAAAGCTACCAAGGAAATAGAAGTTGTTGATCTTAGCGAACGTTAGTTGCCATTTTACGTTACTTTTTGATCATTAGCAGACTAATGTGTCCAGACTGGTTATTTCGTTATATTTTTAGCTATTTAAGGTGCGTCACATGGATATTTTCTCCTTTTAAAAACAGGGAACAGGGTGGCAGGGGAGGGGGGTTTCGGGGGTGTAGGGACTCTGGAGTCTCATACCGGTAGTTTAAAAACCCTCAAGGAACGGAGCGAAGAGGGTGAGTGGGGACTTTTCTCTGATCATGTTCATGAAAGATCTGGGCTTAACGTTAACTCCGTTATTCCTTGTACGTCATTTGTTGAAGACGACCAAACTTCGTAATTGCGTGTTTTATCGTTGTGTACTATGTTAGAACGCGTAAACAGTAATAGTTACTGTTTACGTGCGTAAGCTAAGTAGCTTGCGTTATGTAGCCACGCCGGCTACTGTCTTGACACGACGATTGTTTCATATACCACATGCTTAGTTAACTTTGTTTAGACATTAAAGTCATTTAGCTAAATCGCAGGGATTAAAAATAAAACACCTATCTTATGTCCGTCTTTGATTTAACTTTTGGACGAATCTCGTGAACACTTAACGCTGTCACAGCGAACGTTTTTCGATTAACTGTTTGACTTGTGGTAGAAGTTCAATTCAGAGCACTGTGCATGTCGTCGTATGCAAGTTATGTTGTATAGCAATTCTGTTTTAGTTTCCAAAGCTAGCACGTGCTTAGGCAATATAATGCTCTCGGATCATTGTGTATGTGGTTTTGTTTGGTGTCCACATCATCCCACTGACTGTCTCCATGATTTCCTTCCATTAAACCGTTCCATCATGGCTTCTTTTTTCCAGCGTTGTAGAGCTCGTAGAACATGCTGCAAACTGCTGATCTGAGCTCAGATTTTGCTGTATTTTTATCGTGTGGAACAAGTGCCTAATCTGACCCAGTGTCAGTTGCCGGTGCAGCCTTGTGTTCTACAATCCAACAGTAGTGTTTCCAGCGATTCTATTGGTCAGAATGTTACCCGCTCTGACGCGATTGGTAGAGGGACAGTAACATCTGGCTACATTGGACACATATGGTTGCGTTCGCGTCCACACAGTAACTAACAAACAGCCATTACAAAACAAAATACATTCATTTATTTGCGGTAATGTTGAAGCGCAATTCGCAGTTTTTTTTAATCACTTTTACGTTTTAGCTGGTGTTTTGTTAGTAATGATGGCAAACGTTCGGTTAAACTATGAGTGGAAAAATAGCAGTTGCTTGCCTTGTCAGTTGTAAAGACTGAGCAGGAAAGAATTTAGTGGCGTTATTAGCACAACAAATCACTAATTGCCCAATTATTGACTAAAGGTAGTGAAATAAATTGGAGCACATTGGCAAACTTGGAGTTTCTTAGCAAGAACTTGCTTTTCATTTACTGAAACATGGATGAACGACACTTTCACATGATTTGAATGCATCGTTTTCGCGGGAAAAGCCCGGGGTTGTCCTTTAGTGAAGGGTTTGCAGGAAGTACTAAACAAAACACACTTGTAGCAGTCTCTCGACAATAATAATAATAATAAAAAAAACAGTTTTATCTAATTACGTTATGGGCTGTTTTCCTGGATTTGGTAATGATACAAAGTAGTAGCTCGTTGTTGTGGGTCAGTGATTCATGGCTAGTTCTGATTTCAGTGCTGTTTTTTTAGTGTCACCCAGTCCAAAAGGCATGACTAAAGTCTTTTCAACATGCCTGGAAAGAAAGGTTGGAGTAATATCTTTTTATAAATGCATACTGTAATATAAAATACCTCCATCGTGCATTTAATTCCACATGATTATGACAAGAATGGAAAGTGACTTTTATGTCAAACTTGTTGTTTTCTTTATTACAAGATCAGTGTTTTGTTTATCTGGCTTTCATCTAAAAACACATTTATGTGGTGTTTGTGCAGGTCAGTCCCTTTAGGAGATGGCAGTGAATGTAAGTGTGGATGCAGGACATTCATATAACCGCTATGAGCTGCTGGCTTGGCTCAATGAAACTTTACAGACAGGCTTCACTAAGGTGGAGCAGGTATGCACAGGTAGGTCAGTGTGTGTGTCTATATGTAAATAAAACCTCATGCGTTCTGCTTTCATAGTACACATGTTGTGGAAAATAGGGGGTGAGTGTAAATAAGCACAATATGTGTGATTGTGCTCTTTGTGCATCTTATTGCAACTTTTAATAATTGCCCATAAAGTCTGTATTGTGTGACAAATAAAATTAAACTGAATAATTGTAGTTTAGTTTTATGAGTAATTGACCTGAGGCTTAAGTTAATGTTTTGGAATTAAGATAATTTCTTTTCTGAGCTTAATGATTTCAGACAAATCCCACCACTAACCTGCTCAACTGAGCACCGCTTCACTCTTGGGTGTAGTCCAGGTGCCCACTGCATAATGTACTGCTGCCTTAGTAAATGAGGTGCTAAATACTATGTTGTTTTCACAGTTAATCTGGCCCTTAATGTTTGGACTGGAATTTAATATTTTCAAAGCAGCCTTTCTTGCCACCAGTTCCATTTATTGATTACTTTTTTTGTTTGTTTGTATGAATATCCAGGTGCAGCCTATTGCCAGCTGATGGACTGGTTATGTCCCGGGTCCCTGGACCTTTCTAGGGTCCGGTTCCAAAGCAATAACGTGGTTGACTGTATCCACAACTACAGTTTACTGCAAGCTGCATTCAGAAAAGCTGGAGTTGTCCGAGTGAGTATCTTTTATAAGTGGTCAACGACCGATAAATCTGAGCACATGTTTAGAGCCAGACAGATTCATCACCTCAATATTAGCTCATCTCAGATATATTATCAGTGTTTATATTGGCTGATGAGAATAAATTACAGTATAGAAATACTGAAGATAGTTTTGAGTTTAGAAAGTGTCTCCACATAGTTTGTTATCCAGGAAGCACTGACAACTTTTCTATTCAATTGTTGTGTCCCATTCAGTACACATGTATGTTGTTGGCCATTACGAAAAAAAGTTTAAGTGATTCGAATCCAGAGTGTGTTTTTATGTTTTTATGTCTTAAAATCCAGTATTGGTCGGGTTATAGTACTGATTCCTTTATGAGGGTCTTTTCATTTTTTGGTGAAAATGTTTTCTGACTTATGTTGATATTTCAGAGGTCTCTTTATTCTTTTCACCCCAGCAGATGGAAATACACCAGCTTTGTATTTATGAAGTTTTTCTTTTCTCTTCATCTGTCCAGCACATCCCCATTCAGGCACTGATTAAGAAGAACTCTGTGGTGGCTCTCACCTTCCTGCAGTGGTTTAAGACGTTTTTTGATAAGAACAACGACAGGGAGTACCACGCCTTGGAGGCCAGAGGGGGGCAGAGTATGAGTATGTTTCCTTCCGACTCAGGTGGGAGCAATGTGCAGCTATGGATTTTTCCATCAAATAAATAAAAAATAAATGTAGAAAACACACCCTCTTGTGCACCAGGTGCCAAATATTTTGCAGACATTTTGCCTATTTCTGCAACAGTCTTGTCATTTCTGATTAAAGCTATAATGAACATTTATGTAACATAGACCAAGGTCTGAATACAAAAGGTCTTTGCTTTAACAGAGATATGGAGCCAGCAATGTCACATATTACTTGCCTGTAATAGTGTTGATGTGCGTTTAAATATTGTCAGTGTTGTTTTTATTCCCATTACAGATGACCTCTCCTCCCAGACCTCTCATCCGAAATTGGAGATTATTGTGAAGATGAAGGGCAAAAAAGTAGAAGAACCAAGACAAGAAAAACCAAGGGAGAGTTTGAACATGAATGCTGATGTGGTAGTCATGATATCTGATGATGATGACGATGTGGTGGATGTGACGATGGAGCAGAAAACGGAGACAATGGAGGTAACAGCGAACAGAGACTGTGCACAGGAGATAAAGAGAGTAGAGCAAGCAGAAGCAGCAGTGGACAGCAGTGGTACTTTGTTGAGCTTCATCAGAAGATACTGTAGTGACAATGTGGGTACAAGTACAGACACTCATACTTCTGGCCCTTTACTTTCTGCCATTTTGAGTCCATCCCACCAAAAAGACATCACCAAGGCCAGCTCACACACACCGTACTGCCTCTACCTCTACATGGGGGTAGAGCTGGATGGAGGACAGACCACAAGTGTTGTTCTGATTGGCTACTTTGACCAGAGCTCAGGGGTCAGTGTGGTGAAACTGCTGCACACTCTGCAGCTGAGTGTTGACACTGTTGATCCACAAACCTCAGCGGCCATGGACACTGACACTCCTACAGTTGCACACACAGCAGATTCTGATGCACACCTTCTGATTGAGATGCTGAAAAAATCAGGACTTTTTCTGTCCAACCTTGCTGTGTTTCACTGTAATGCTCCACACGCAGGGTTGAGCCAGGTAATTGTATCCAAGCTGCAGACTTACAACCCGAGCTTAGTGTCGCTCTGCGGCCTCCCTGGGATGGCAGGAAGAGCATTCCAGACTGGACTCCTTGCTTCCTTTAGTGGCGTGGTTGACTTGGTTAGAGCGATCCACCATCACTACTCCACCTACCCCTCTGTTAATGACGGTCTGAAAGAGATATTTGCTGGTACAGAGTCCTATAACTCATCCCATTCTATCTCTGCACAGTGTTTATTTATTATCTGCACTGTGCAAAAGATGGTCAGCAGCTGGAGGGATTTAGTGGCGTATTTTAAGTCGCTAGGGCAAACAGAGGACACTGACCGGATTCGAAGCCAACTGATGGATTATAAAGTTAAACTGCACTTCCTCTTCCTGTCCCAAATTTTGGAGCCCCTTCGAGGTCTTCAAGAACTGCAGCAGTATGGCACAGCGGACGTGGCTGTGGAGCTCCAGGTGACCTCCATCTTGATTCAGTCCTATGCAACCAACATCCTCCGGCCCTCTGTCGCCGAGCGCTTCCTCAGGAGACGAGACCTGCAGCTCCTCTGCAATAAGAAGGAGCTGCTCCCCATGGCAGAGGTGAATGTGGGCTCTCGTGCCAGAGAATTCCTGTGGGCCACTGCTGTTGTGGATCTTGGGAAACGGGAGAGGAGCAACTTCCTGAAGGGTGCAGTGGCTTTCTATAAAGCGGCACTCCAGAGTTTAGCACAGAATATTCCTGAACAGCTTGGAGACGCGGCGCTGAGAAATATCGCCACAGTTCTGAAAAATCCTGAAAATATCAACGTAAGATGATTTATTTCTCTTATAAGTGAGACATACTGCAGCCAGTTATAGCTCAGTATTTGTCGAATCAGAGATCATGTATAAAATAATTAGATGCAGTAGAAATTGAGCCACTGCAAAATTGCTTTGATTCCAAACATAAACTTCTAGAGTTAAACATGTGTCCTGGGGCAAATGACTGCTCCCAGGCAAGAAATAGTTAAGTACATAACAACTGTAAAATCTCGTTTTAACACTTACGTTTTTGTATGGATTAAATAAAAAAAAATTCAATTTGTTAATTTGTGATCTTAAGAGGTGCTGGTTGGTAGATTTTGTTACCTTTTGACAGAGCCAGGGTAGCCATTTTCCTCTACTTCCACTCTCTGTGCTAAGCTAGATAACCAGCTGCTGGCTGTAGCAGTTTGATACCTGTCCATATCTAATGGCCAGGTATAAATCTTAATACCATCTAACTCTCAGCCAGAAAGGGACTCAGCGTGTTCTCCCAAAGTGTTGGAACGATTTCCTCAGTGTGCAGGATTTTGTTTCGCTTAAAGCTCAGTTTGTGTTCCTTATCTCTTGCTGCCAGCTGGAGGTGTGTCATATTGCCTTGTCTAACTTTATAGGGCTTATATTGTTTTACATTACAACATATTAACTTTTTAGGGGACCTTATTCTCCCTAATGGGTATGCACAGTATTGTATGTAGGACTTTTTAAAATCAGTTTAATGTCTGCTTGACTTAATCTAATTTCCTTGCTTATCTGTACTTTGCTACATGTGATATCTGTGTTTTCCCTTCAGGATAATACGTTGTCCAGAAATGTGCTGTCAGAGTTGGGGGTTCAGCTGGGTCTGTGTAAGGCTGACTCTCCAGAAATGCATAAGCTGGCACAGGACTACCTCAGTTTCACTGAGAAAGTGAAGGAGCAACAGGCGGGCGGAGAAGGAGAGGGTCATTGCTGGGCAAAGGTAAACTGAGGTTTCCTTTCGGTTCTTGAATAAAATGTGTAACCATCTCATTACTGGGATGAATACCTGTGTTGACTGGAAAATCCCAGGCAGCCCGTTGCAATCAGTAACATGTTCATTCAGTTGGTCATGAACTGGGCAAAAACATACTCTCTCTGTGCGATGTCAGTATTAGAAATGTACTAAAAATGAAAATTTTATATATCATTACAATTTTAAAACTTTATCGGCAATAAGACCAGTTGACCTTATGTAGAAATGTTACATTGAATATCAAATGTCATCACAAGAGCTTCCTGTATTGTCTCTACAGATGTTGCACGGCATGAGACCGTACTCTAGTCTGCATAGACTCCTCCTGACCCTCCTGGCGTTGCCGAGCTCTCTATGCAGGACTCAGGTGTTTGATAAGGTGAGTGTTAAAAGCTAAAGCTACCCAGGAAGCTAACTGGTTCATTTACTGTGTATAGGTGGGTGGGGGAAGGTCCGATGATAAAGGTAGATCTGGGGACTCAGGTGACATGAATTTGGTGATCCCCTCACCTTTCCTCTAATGCCCCCAGCAGGTTGACATTTTTTGTGAAAACCTTTTGATACACATTCATGTCTTACTCACAATAAATTGTGATCCCTTAACTTTTCCTCTTGCACCACCATCAATTCAGTTTGTGCATTTCGTTCATGAATAAATAGCTGCAAAACTGATGTTCCCATTAGCCTCATTTGTACTTTGTGTTGAGTGCTAACTAGCAAATGTTAGCATTCTACCACACTAAATTAAGAAAGTGAATCATTGAGCTAAAAAGATGTGGGTTTGTGTGATTGCTCCTGTCTCAAGGTGTTACAGAGCATCAAGGCTCTTCCTGACAGCAGAGAAAGCCCCAGAGCCACACCTCGACCAGGCAGGTGGGCAGAGAGAACCCGCGTCCGCAGAAGGAAACTACCTGTCCAGAGGGGTTATGGCGGCAAGAAGAAAGAAAAAGTGGACGAAGATAGTTCATCAGAGGACAGTAGTGACAGTTTAGTGGCCAAACCCAGTCTGCACAGTTCTTCCAGACACTACATTATAGAGGACTCAGACTACACAGATAATTCCTCAGGTAAGACTAGTAGGTGTGCACTGAGTGTGGCATGTTTCTGTATGAGCCATGTATTGCCATTGATTAATGAAGTAAATCTGTTGAGATGCCAAGAGCAATTCCAAATGTTGTTGTTAATAATAACCGATGTGACTGTGCTCTATTTTTATCAGATGTGGTTGACGTCACTGAAGAGTCCAGAATGTCTCAGACCAGCAGACTAAAGGCAGAAGGTAAGAAGTGTATATTAATGAACACGATCTTTAATAATTATCTCCTTGCACTTTATCTTATTGAACAGATTTAGAACTTAGTTCTTACTCCAGTGTCTCCTGCTGTACTGAAGCTTGAGTGTTGTATCTCACTTGTAAGTCACTTTAGATAAAAACCACCTGCCACATGAGTAAATGTCAGTGTAATAAGCTTAAGCACATTGTGTCTGTCTACAGTTTTAGATGAAGACCAGATCATATATAGATCAATAGCTCATTGTCACTGTGTTGCAGGTCAACAAAGTCCACCAGCAGAAGTTGAATATGTCTTGGGCAGTGATGATGATGATGATGATGATGACGACAACATTGTTTCAACAAGCACGTCATCCAGCTCTACACAAGTACTGGTAAGTGCTGGTCATTTGTAGCACTAATAGCTTTACACACTATTGGAGCTGCAACAATGATTATAATTGATCATAAAATGAGTCCAAATTAGTCAGAAAGGTTTTGACAGAATTGGCATTAATAAATTAATTAGCAACTATTTTGGTAAATACATTTAAAAACACTCACAGTCTCTTTGAGCACTGGGATGTTGTGACATTTTAGAGATTGGTAATAAAAAGAATCATTAGTTGCAGCCCTATATAGTTATGTAAAGTAATTTGGTAACCATGGTAACATGTTTGCACATGTGTTGCAGCTAATAATGTTCATAGTCATGTATTTGTTAGTGACACTAGAGGAGATAAATAAACACATATGATTATGTGTAGTGCTACAGAACCTACTGAGATTTTCTCATGTCCGATGATGCAGGACGACAGTTGTCAAAACCATCTGTTCAAGTAACGTCATGTTTACTTCTCTTGATTTGTTTGTAATAAATCTACGATGGCCGACAAGGCAGCCCAGAACACTTTTATTAGGAAAAAACAAGCTGCAAACTCAGAGACTGTGTGTGTGTGTGTGTGTGTGTGTGTGTGTGTGTGTGTGTGTGTGTGTGTGTGTGTGTGTGTGTGTGAGATACAGGGTGTGAATGGGGAGCTGGTCTGGGGCGATGTGGAGAGCTTCTCTCCTTGGCCAGCCATCATCCTCCCCTGTAAGGAACAGAAGCTGGTTCAAGGGAGGAGGCTGGTGGAGTGGTACGGACAGAAGGTGTGCTCTCAGGTGAGTCAGACGTGCAATGGACAGATGATGGATACAGGAATTCAGGGAATCTGAGTTTATACAGCATGTAATCATGTACATAAATTCTTCCTCTACATTGAGACCGTACAGTAATATTTTTGCATTTTCACCAGTGGATCCCTGTGTTTGGTACCAGATGAGTAACCAGTTTCTCTACTGGTCCCCAGCAAACAGTTACACCACTGACTGTATATTCCTATGGAGGGCTGAACCACTGTTGAGAACTTGACCAAAATGACAGCTGACAGTTATTTAATTTGACAGTGTTTTTTATTAAACATGTAACATCTGTCTGATACAGAGTAAAAACAGTTTCCTTACCCTCCATGTTTTTCACCTGCTTAGTTACTGATATTCTAAAAATGTTCACTATATTCTTCAATCTATTCTTATATCTAGTTCCATTCTCTGCACTGATGTCTTGCCTCTGATTCCAGACCAATTTGCAGGATCTGAAACCATTTGCTGCCTTTGGCCAGCACTTCTGTGCCAACTCCTTTGCCACCCTTGCCACGTACAAAGAAGCCATTTCCTTGTCACTGGAGGTCAGTGTGTTTTGAAATAAACAGGAATCTAAGTTATGATATGTAACTTTTCCACATTAACATGTCTAAAAACAACTAGACCTATGTTACCTATCTTTTTGAGTTGTGTTTTTAGATTATCCCAAATGTCTCCATCAATTCTCAAACAAGAGAAAGCTGTGATTTTAATCATGGTAAAGCTCATTTGGTTGCCTGTCAATGACGGATTATCCTCTATGTGCATGTGTGGTGTTGTGGTTGCCTGCCAGAGGCTCAAAATTTACTTTTATTCAGTTTTAAGCCACTTATTTGAGATACACTTTTTAGATCTTGGTCATTTTCAACTATGTATTTTAACCAGATGAAGGATTTTAGTCATTGGACGTCCAGAACTTAAGTTAACAATCCTGAGGTGTTCAGATGTGTTTGCATATTTGTCGACCTGCATTACATATTTGTGTTCTCGTCCATCAGGAGGCAGCACTTCGTTGTAAGAAGCGGTTTTCTGCGCGTCCTGATGACGGAGATGAGCTGTTGAAGAAGATGTTGGACTGGGCCCTCAGAGGTTTTCGACCCACAGGGCCAGACGGACTCAAACCGCTGGCTTCCGTACACGGTACAAACATCTGTTTAAGAACCCTGAATAGATAAAACATCATTATCAATAAACAGATCACAGACTAGAGGGAACTCACTGATAAACCATGACAAATGAAGCTGCTTTTCTAAATGAAAATGACAGCACTGTGGTAAATATTTCTTCTGGAGCTTTACAGTAAAAGCAGAAGAACGTTGCTGCACTGTGAACAAGGTTTGATACTACCAAATTAATAAAAAAAAAAATATGTGTTGATTTTGTTATATATAAGACATGTATTCCTCAATTGCAATCTCTGCAGTTGTCTGTGGTTTATGGGTAATGGAGTTTATTAGAGGCTGCGAAAAACATAAAATAAACAGCAGTATTGATTAAGGTTAAGGTTTCAAGGACAGTTATTTAGTCATTTGTTTTATTACAAAAGTCAGTGAGATTTTGAATGAGGTTTTCTTGAAGAAGTTCCAGTTTCCTTGTCGTGTTCCCAAAGTCCCAATTTTCAGCTCAAGCTCACAATTAGTTTGTGCACGAAAAAGCAAAACTGAGAAACACAGGAACTATATAGTTTTGTAGGTGATGGTCACCTGAATGACTGTCCTTTTTCCAGGTGCTTCTAAATCATGCCACAGGCAGAAGGTGAACATGACACTCCTCCTGAAACCCACCTCTTCTCCCCCGAGCAGCAAGAGGAACGTCGGCTCTGAGGTGAAAGAAGTTGCCGTCTCCATGAACAAACTGTCGTGCAACTCCAAAGAGAAGTCCTCCCACAAAGGTGGAGGTGGAAAGACTGCAAGGGGAGAGAGATTTGGCACCAAAGGAGGGGTGAAGGAGAAGGGATCCAGAGGAGGATGGGCAGCAGAGAAACAAAGGAAGGGAGGATCGGGAGGAGAGAAAGACGACTCAGCAGGAGGATTGGGAAGAGGGAAGGGTGAGGGAGGATCGGGAGGAGAGAAAGACGACTCAGGAGGAGGATGGGGAAGAGGGAAGGGTAAGGGAGGATCGGGAGGAGAGAAAGGAGGGAAGGGACAGAGGAAGAAAGGCAGTCTGTTAGATGGGGTTGATGCTGACATGTCACCAGATGTTGCGCCGTACAAGAAGAGAGCCTACACCAAAAATTACAACAAGGTCAACCAGGAGACCACCGTCTACACCCAGCCGAACCAGAAGCTGAGAGGTACACAACAGAATTTAATTCTATCATTAAATCGTGAATGTGGATTACATGCTAAGAAACACAATTGATGAGTTTCGTTTCAAACTGAGTAATTGAACATTTTCAAATGAGAATCAAATGTACAATGATATGATTATGTTTGTGGACTGGTGTATTGCTCTGGATTGTGTTGCAACATTTGTAGATCCATTTTCTAAGTTTGTGTGTGAAGTCCTGATGTTTTCTTGCAGAGGAGACCATTCGTAAGATCACAGACATGAAACAGGACATCGAAGGTGAGTTGTGTGTGTTTTTTGGTTTTTTTTGTATTTTAAATTTTTTTTCCTGTTTATGAATAAAAATTCATTTTGTAATGTTACATGATGAATGATTTTCATTATTCAGCAGTCGCTCACATTATATCATCAATCAGTGGATTAATGGCTGTGTTTACATTGTGCACAGTATTGTAAGAAAAACTCCAGTGAATCTCTCTTAAACTTTTATATGTTTTAAACATTATGAGCGTACTTATGTGTATATAGTTGCATTTGTTGTATCCATAAAGATAATTTCACCCAGTCACTTATTTGTTCCTCACTTGCTTCCTCTACATTGAGACATCCCCTTTGTTTTTTGTCTTTGTTGTGTTTGCAGGCTTCTGCTTGTGTTGTGGAACTGAAAAGGTTGAAATATTCCACCCTCTGTTTAAAGGCAGCCTCTGCTTAAAGTGTAAAGTAAGCAACCATCAACTTCTCTTTATGTTTCCTGAAGCATTTAGACCATCCCTTTTCTCTTTTCCTCCAGTAAACACAAGTAACAATAATAATTTGAGTCCTTTTACTTCGTTGCTCTACAATTAACATGCATCTTTTCACCCAACTGTGAAAGATTTGATATGTATTTTATTAATAATGTAAATTGTAAAGATGAGCTTGTTACACAGTAATAGGCCCAGGTCATAGACTTGGACTGTGTGACATTGTTTAACAAACCAAATGAGTCTCCACTGTGAAGTATTGTATTAACACGTGTTTTGAATGGCCACTCAGACATCCTTGTCTTATATGATGTTGTCATAAATACATAATAAAACACAAATACCAGTCACCATGACTATTAAAACACATGATCAACCGATTCCAGAGCTGTGCAGGAGAACTGATCTAATTGGTGTCGCTGTGTAAATAGAAATCACTGTCAGACTGGTTCTATTATAAAACAGATCGGATATTTGTTAAAATGTAGGTGGTAGGTGGAATCCCACTTCTGGTGAACAGACAAAAATAACAGAGTCAGAGCACAAATGTGTTGCTGAAACGCATAAAGTCAGTAAGTTTCCCTAAACTATTAAAACATCCCTAACCAGTGGCTGTGACGTTGTCTGTGTCCTGTAGGATAACTTCACAGAAACTCTGTTTCGTTACGATGAAGACGGGTATCAGTCCTACTGCACCATCTGCTGCTATGGACTGGAGGTCATACTTTGTGGCAATGACAGCTGCTGCAGGTTTGTCTGTTCTTCTCGTTCTATACATTTAAATCTAGCTATCTAAAGAAAGCTGACAAGTAGAGCCCAGATGTTCTTTTATTCAATCTTCTGCCCACCTTCTTTTCTCCTCTTCTCTTCCTCTCTTTCTGCAGATCTTACTGTGAGGACTGTCTGAACATCCTCGTTGGTCCAGGGACGTTTGAATCACTGACGCTGGTGGACCCGTGGATCTGCTACCTGTGTCAGCCTCACCGGCCCCATGGAGCTCTGATTCCCAGGGAGGACTGGAGCGTCCGTGTTCAGGAGCTATTTGCCAACAATAGCGCCATGGCGTTTGTAAGTAAACGTTTTTATATTTGTCCTCACCAGCTCTCTGAATATATTAAAATGTATTGCAAGTATTACACACCGTAAATGTCTGTGTAAATATTCATTCTTCACTAAACAACTTGATGGTGACATGCAGACAAACTGAGGATGTTGCAACAATTAAATACACAAGTTGCACATGTTGTAAATAATGCACTGTACTCAAAAAGATCTTAGTCACAAACTTGTGTCGTATGAAATTTCCTTTTTTTTCCAAAAAACTAAATTTATTAACAAGGAATCACACTGGCTCAGTTACTACTTAGTTTTTTCTTTGTAGGAGCCGCACCGTGTTTACCCATCCATCCCCGCCAACAAGCGCAGACCAATTCGAGTTCTCTCACTGTTTGATGGCATAGCAACAGGTTGAGTACACAGACCCAGATCGAGGCTCGGAGTACTTATGTACTTATGGGCAAGGGCAAGTGCATGCACTCACACACTGTAGCTGAAGGTGATGCTTAACAATTGTAAATGACACACAGACATGTTTTGTAGCTTAAGCAGTTTTCAGCTTTATAATTCATGTTACTGGGTGGAAACTTTAGAAAATAAACTTTAAGTTCGTTGCTGCTCGAGGCAGACATTAAACTCACATGAAACCCAAAGTGAAGCAGTGATGAGCCCCTTGAGTTTCATGTACACAATCTGTTGTGAATGTGAGTCTGTCATATTTTCAAAGTGTCTATGAAGCAATATACACACCATGAAGAATGAGGGAAGGAAAGTGGATTTTAGCCAGAGAAGGTGAAGATGAAGAGGAGGGAGAGGACAATGACGTCAGAAACGGGCAGATCAATTGCAAATCAAATGATTAATAATCAAATAATAATCAAGTATAAACTTAAAATGAACAAAAGCAATAAAACCTGAACTCAAACCTATAGTTTTTGGTTCCTCCTGCAGGTTCTCAAGTTGCTTTTACCCCTCTATGTTTGGACATGAATGACTCGTTAATCTATGATTGTTTCTAAGAGTGTGCTCAGTCACAATGTTTTTGGGAAACACCCCTTGATGATGGATTTCACCATCATCTTAGGCTGAAGATGGTTTTGGGAAACAAGACCAGTGGTCTCGCTCTTCTGTTCTGACCTCACTATTCTCAGATACGTTCCTGCTCTTGTCTGTTGTGACCTAAACATTTTTAATTATGATCGTCCAGTATGTTTGTGTTTTCTTCCTGACACTTCCCTGTTGTCTGTTAGAAGCTTACAGTATGAATGTGTGTGTGTGTGTGTCTGTGTCTTAGTCTTCTCAGGCTACCTGGTTCTGAAGGAGCTTGGCTTTAAAGTCCAGACATACGTTGCCTCAGAAGTTTGTGAGGATTCAGTTGCCGTGGGGACCGTCAACCACGACGGGAAGATCCTCCACGTTGGTGATGCCCGGTTCATCACAGAGAAAATGACGTACGGTCTCACACACACACACAAACACACACACACACACACACACACACACACACACACACACACACACACACACACACACACACACATTTTTCTTCTCCCACACAGTTCACATCCAGTTTAATCATGTTAATATTCTTATAATGTACAATGTTCCTCTGTGTCCTCTCAGTTGTTTTCATTTTAAGCCTCATCTTTTGCTGTCTTTTGAAGATGACATATACACATTTAGGCACACCTAGCTAAAACTACAACAGTCCTGTAATAAACCCAACATTTCAATGTTATGATGAAGGTTATAATGTTCAATAAGTTAAATCAACACACGCATTTTCCACAAAAAGATTCAACCAAAACTGAACATTAGAGCCTTCATGAAGGTTATAAGGTTATTTTAGCCAGGTGTACCTAATAAACTGACAGCTGAGTATTGATCTGCAACATGTAACTGAAATGACATTTGGTTGAATAGTGAGTTAAACCAGCTCTTCGCTCTTCTCTGACGATCCAGATCGAGCAGTGGGGTCCGTTTGATTTGCTGATCGGTGGCAGCCCCTGTAACGACCTCTCCATCGTCAACCCCCTCAGAAAAGGCCTCTATGGTAAGTAGCATGTCAGCTTTAAATAAATTGTTTGTCAACAATTAAAAATGGATTCATTGTGTTAATAACGACCAAATTAAAATGCCAAGTAGTCGCTGATTCCATCTGGAAAGGTGCTTTCTTATATTAGAATACTGTTCAAGTACTTTGAATAGTCTTCCTGTCTGTCCACCGATCTACTGTCTCTGCTAAATGAGAAATTAAAAATGAATTTGCAAAAACCCAAACAACAACAGACTTACATTTATTTTCGTTTTTAAATTACAAATGAATTACACATGATCCGATGATACCCAGACAGATAACTAGGAGTTATCAACAATTACTGAGTTGATGAAATAATCATTATTTTCAGACCTGATGAGTAAATACTTTTCCCGCCCTAAACTGGCCTCTGCAATGCTTTGATCCTGTTTATCATTTTAATCACAGTTGTTATGCAGATGCTGGATATTAGTGTTTGAAACCAGTATGAAAGTGTCAGTGCAGAGGCCTCTGTTCTTTGCTGTAATTCTCTCCTCTCTCTGGCAGAGGGCACCGGCAGGCTCTTCTTTGAGTACTACCGCATCCTTCAGCTGCTGAAGCCCAAAGAGGGAGACCCTCGGCCGTTCTTCTGGCTGTTCGAGAACGTGGTCTTCATGAACACACATGACAAAGTCAACATCTGCCGCTTCCTTGAGGTTTGTCCAGTTCAGTCCTGTTTGGTTTCTTTTCCTCTGTTCGCTCTCCTTTCCTCTACTCTGTCCATTTATTTGTCTCTTTCCTTTTTAACTAACGTACTAAACTCAGGAAGACTGAGCTGACTGTTGCTTCTATCTGGTTCTTCGACAGTGTAACCCGGTGCTGGTGGATGCAGTCAAAGTGAGCCCAGCACACAGAGCCCGTTACTTCTGGGGAAACATCCCAGGGATGACAAGGTAAGACATTTAATTAATCATGAATTATAAGACTTAGATTACTCGCAACTAATAGTTTCCAGATGTAGTAGTGGTGTCAGTGAAAGCAGAAAGCATTTGTTTTAAAACATGTAATGTTTTTATGTCACATCCTTCATATGTAACAAATCAGTTGTGTGTGAGGCTTTTTCTTGATTTTTACATCTGTATTTTTTGGTTTGTGCTCTTCCATTTTACACAAAGATGAATTAATGACACAGTGGACACCTGTGCACAGACCTGTAAAAATCTCCCCACCCCTCTTGCATAAGAACAAGACGCCCAGACCGAAATAGACACAAGTGGTTTTGTGACTCTTTGTGACTGTTTTGCATCTATTTTGTTACTAATTTTGTGACTTTGTTGTCGTTTTGTGTCTCTTTGCTTCTTGATTGTGTCTTTTTGTTTTGTGTCTATTTTTGTGTCTATTTTTATTCATTTTGTTTACTTGTGGTTGTTTGACTTATTTACACAGTAAACAGGTAGATTTCAAACAGAGGCTCTAGTCCACGGGCCCCTGAGTCTTCTGATACGTCGGTCTGTGCCCGATAAACCTGTTCAGTAATCCATGATTGAATATATTATCTGTTTGTCTGTTTCTTTTATTTCCTTCTTTCTTGTTTGTCCTTTTTGTAAATCACTTTGGAACTTATCTTTTTTATAAATGCTGCATGAATAAAGTTTGCCTGTTTGCTGCTTATCTCCCATCAGACCCATCATAGCCTCCCAGAGTGACAAGCTGAATCTTCAGGACTGTTTAGAGATTGGTAGAGAAGCCAGGGTCAGTGACCGGACCTGCGGGTTCAGTTTTGTTTAGTTATTTTCGTCATCTACCATCTCATTCCTTCCATTTTGTGCAATTTTAACAATATTGATTACGATGTTAACTACTACTGCATGTTGTTTTTGTTCCAGGTCGCTAAGGTGAGGACGATCACCACCAATCCAAACTCTCTGAAGCAGGGAAAAGGTGTGTCTCTGCTGCCTGTCGTCCAGAACGGCAGAGAGGACAACCTCTGGATCACTGAACTAGAAAAGTAGGTATCAGTGTGTGTGTGTGTGTGTGTGTGTGAGAGTGTGTGTGTTAAATGCCAGCATACTAAACAATAATGCATGTCTACTGGTTTCATTCTTATCCACTAAATGTATGATGAAATGAATCCACGTCCTCCTCTTGTTCGTCTGCTCACAGGTTCATTTAATACATTTGTGTGTGTGTGTATTTTCCTCATTGCAGCCTGTGACTGCTGTGTCCTGAACTTTGTGTAACTGCAGTCAGGCGTTTCTGGGCTGAAAACTTTAGGATCTTTGTTAATGTGCTGAATGTTCCTCTCACAGCATCAGATATATGCTGTACTCGATCTGAGCACAGATTGTATTGTTTACATAAAACCAAACACAGCAGTCTAATGCCAAAGCTGGATAAGTGTCAGCCAACTCCTCTGCTCCCAGTTTGCAGCAGACCCACGAGTGTGAAGGCTGATCAGACACAAAAACAATGCACAGCAAGTTAAATGTAGTCTGAGGCAGGAGTTTAAAATTCTGGAAAGCGTCAAATAATTTCAACTTTTATTTCAGTGATCACTTGTCAAACACTAGAAATAAAGCGTTCACATTACAAAATGCCAGGAATCTGCAGTTGACATATTTCATTTGGCACCACACACAGTGTCTTCATGGATGACGTCGGTTTTCAGTCAGTTGGCTGTCTTTGTATTTGCTGCAGTTTTTGTTCTGAAGCGCTCTGCACAGACAACCACGCTGCGTTTATGGAGTGGCCTCATTCCAATAAATGAGAGGGCTGCGCTTTTTCATCTTTTTGAAAATAGCCCTCGTCTCCATCTAGAAACTTTGTTAATGAAGTTCTTTATTGACGGATACCCCTCACTGTCAACTTGCTGTGTTCCCACTATGGTGAAGCTGCTGGATAGCAACACAGAAACATCACCACCTGCAAGTTGCAGTCACTAAACGTTACAGGTGTGTAGGAGAGATCAAAACAAAAGACGAGTTTGAAGTATCTCAAGGCACTGTTCAAATAGAGCAGGGAGAGAGAGAGAGGGACCATGCAATAATGGTAGTAATAATAATAATAATGACAGCGGCAGTAACAGAAAGCTAATAACAGCAATAATTATTATTATTAATCAGACCAAGGCGGGGGCCTTGGCGGTCCGATCCTCGGTTACGGAAACTGGTTTTTGGAACACGAAATGAAACGAAACATTTTGTATGGTCTGACCCATGAGTGCTGGGTCGGAACATCTACACGTTGACGGGCACGAGTCATCGTTTTTCTTTTTTCACGCACTTTACAAAATGAAAACATCTGGATTTTAGCTAACACTTCCTTCTCCTTCATTCCTCACCAGAATCTTTGGTTTCCCCAAACATTACACCGACGTGAGGAACATGAACCGGCAGCAGAGGCAGAAGGTGCTGGGGAAGGCGTGGAGTGTGCCAGTCATCCGTCACCTCTTCGCTCCCCTGAAGGACTATTTTGCCTGTGAAGAGCTATTGACCACATCCACCACCATCACCAACGCTACCTCCACCTCCATATCCTCCCCTCCCTCTCCAGACCTGCAGCAATTGAGATAGGGGAAGTTGGTTATGTTTTATGTAGTGTAGTTCGCATAGATGTGCGTGCGCGGAGGGTTTTCCCTCCATATGTCTTATAAGCAGTAGATGGAGCATAAATGGTCTCTGTATTCAGTCTCCTATTTTTAAAAGGCCAGCTCACAGACAGGCTTTTGTGGATTGCTGCCTCGGGGCCATTTTTTCTCTGATGTGCCCTCGAGTCTCTTGCATCATGTCACACATGTAGTTCCTGTGTGTATCAGTCACGCTGGCCCCAAAGCCGCTCTTTGTCTTGGGTAGAAAATGGCAGATTATGCTCCCTCCAGAAACCTTTGCAGGATGAGAGGTCTACCAGTGTCAAAATGAATGGTGCTGCATACTGATGTATCAAATTCAGATGATTTCCTTCCTTTGTGGTCAGTAACCGTCTAAACTATTTGTGTCGTTTGTATTTAACATGGAAATTATGAGATTGTGCCTACATCAAGTTTTTAACCATTTTTAAATGAACACAAAAAAATCATTGTTATATGGTGCATGTTAAAAAGACATTTTTACCACTGCTACATTTGAGTTATTTTTTTTAAAGATGTTAATGTGTGGATCATTTCAAACAGAGCAGACCTGGGAGCTGCCTCGCTGCTTTATTGTCATATTTGAATCATGTTTCCAGGAGAAAAACAAAACGTGCATCTACTGCATTTTTAAACGTTTTTAAAAGACATTGCCTTTCTCCTCTATTTCCTCTGCCAAAAATTAACAACTCTTTTTTCCAACGTTTTGTATATTTTTGTATCTTTTTTTTTTTTTTTTAAATCAGGAAAGTAGGGCTGCAACTGATACTTGTTTTTCTGCCAATAAGATAAAGAGATGCCACTGCAGTTCCCCAGATGGCTCAAATAATATTCAGTTTACTTTTTGTTTTTAAATAAAAAAAAAAAAAAAAAAAAGACCAAAAAGGTGTGAAATAATGAATTACCTGTTGTTAATCAACTAATCATGGAAAGTGACTGAGTGTAACCTTGATTTTGTGTGTTTAGGAGGATGTGTTGCATTTGTATTGATTGTTTTTTGCTGCATTGTTGCCTTTTGGCAGGTGTGTGTGCACTGCCACTTTTACACCAACAAAACTGTGATAGAGACAAAGACCCTCAAGAGCCTTTATGTTGTTTTGGTGTAAAATGATAACAAAGCCATAGTAATGAATAACAATCATCTGTACCATGTTTTGATGAACAATCAGTAATGTTAATAGTAACAATGGTGCTTTCCTTACTATAGCAAACAACACACACAACACATTAATCACCTGTTGTCCAATACTGACAAGTTATTGAACCTGATATCTCAGATGTTTGTAGGTAGTGACCACAATATCAAATGTTTTATACTTTTTTATGATGAATAATCCTCATGTCCTAAATGACTGATTCTTGTATAGAATACTAATGCATGATATCCTGACTGATGATTGTAACGTGAACATGTGTTTTGAGGACTGTTGTTTTGGTTGAGGGGCTTGAAGTGGGTTGTACAGTTGTTTTGGTGGTGGTGGACTCAAGACCTGTATTTCTGTAAAATCCTGCAACAAAAATAGAAAATGAATGAATTAAAGATATAAACAGTCCTTTGTATGTAAATCATGGGTTATAACTTTTGCGCTGTTCAGTAAGAAGCAGCTGAATCAGCCAAACTTAAACCTGCAAGCAGGAACCAGCGGATTCGCACCCTGGGCTGGACCTCCTTACAGTCAAGAAGAAATAACCAGCTCAACTGTTAAATCTTCCAAACTACCTTACATCTCTTCTCTCATTTAAATCTAGTATCCACAGAACATGATCCAATAACGACTTAACCCCCGATATCCCTCATGTTCACACTAATGTTGGCAGAACTAATTTCAGCTACACACCAATTTTGGTGAAACTGTTCACCAGGTTTTCAAATATTTACTTGTGGCATTTGTGGCACCCCCTATAGGTCAGGCTTAAAATACAATGGTAAACTATGGTAGCATATGGACCTGCTTGGACCTCTAATAATGAAAACAAAAATAATAAGGGTTCAATGTAGTCTTTTTGGACTATTGCACACATATGCAACTGAAACACTTGGTGTGCTATTGTGGTGATTTGGCCTCAGTCTTAAAAGGCTGCATCCACATGAATTTGGGGGGAATTGAGTTTGAAGGAGCACTGAAGGGAGGGGTGTATTTGTTTTGCTGTCAGTCTTCATTTCTCCAGAAAAACTCACTCCACCACAAGAGAAAATTAGGAACATGTTGCAAGCACAGTGACGGTGTGGGAGGGTTCATCTTTTGTAGTTGAAGCATTTTTATGTTTCCATGGCTGTCTGAAGAGGATATGTTTTAAATGTCTATGTTTTCTTCCTTTTTTTCCCCCGTTTCTAAGGTTCTTTCTCAGTATTTGGGCATAAAGAAAGATTGTATTTAATATTAGACTTGCTGCTTAATATACATGCAAAACAAGTACTATGAAATTAATAAACATTTGTTTGTGTCACATGCTTGTCACAGGCTGAATCTCACCAAGTGACTGGCAGTGACTGAAGAGAGACCCAATCAGAGCTGAGAGGCAACAGCTGTGCCACCTGCATGGAGGAACTTTTAAAACCTCATGAGGCAAAGTTAGTTTTTTTTTTCCTTCGTGACTGGAGCCATGGGAGAAGTTTGGGCCCTGCTTGTTTGTGTGCTGACTGCCTGGCTTGCCAAAGGTTTTTAGATTCTTTCTGTTTGAAGCTTGTGTTTAATAAATTGGCAGTGGAGTGTATCAAATGTAAAAGTAAGGTTAAATGATTGCAGTCAGACTTTTGGTGGGTGGAGTATGTTTTAGCACAACTCTTGAACATTCAATTCCTGAATTGTCTCTGAGCTGTAACAGGTAGGTTCTGTTGTGCCATAAAATGTCTCAAACATTGAATTAACAGCAAGTGTACTTTTCACAGGCTCTTGTTTGCCAGTTAGTGGCACAAATGAAAAATATGATGATGATGATGGACTGCGCAGGAGCATGAACGGTAAGAACATTATGGACATAATCTTTTCTAAGCAATTTTCTGACACTAACTTAGATTCTTTTGGGTAACAGATCTGTTTCCCAATGATCTTTCCATTAAGAAGGCCCTTGGACTTTATCAGTCATTGGAGTCCATGTTGGAGCAACATGCTAAAGAAGGTGAGCAGGTTCTCTGAAACCATACTAGCAAAATGCAAGTTCATGTTGAGCCTCAGTTCTTAGCCTCACAATGTGGCTTTACCAGGCTTGTAATTGCCCCATACTGTGATTCCAACAGAGTGCTACTTAAACCATATTGACTCTACAATGTCAAGTTTACAGCTGCCTTTGTTAGACAAATCTTCAATTAAATCATGGTATACCTTCATACTATGACATCTTGGATGTAGTAAGAGTTCTCAGTTGTCACAATGCAAGGCAGCTGACTCCATTGGACTGAAGACCAGTTATTTTGTCTTGTAGGTCAAAACCAAGTAAAGTGTTTGCTTTAAAATCTCAAGTCTTTAGTTAGTGAGTTACTTCAGGAATGGTAAAGTTTAGATAAGTCAAACATTTAATTTCTTGCTTTAGTCATCAATCGTTTATCAAATGTCTTTTTCTTTCAGTACAACTGGAAACTAACGAAGTGGAAGCTGAGGTATTGGTTGGCCACCTGACACCTGTCCAACAACCCATAAACAGAGCAAAAGAGGTCAAAAGCAACAACGTGACGGCCATCATGGCGGCCAACGACAACACAACGGCCAGCATGAGTGACAATGCGACAAACATCATGGCAGCCAGTGACAATGCGACAAACATCAAAGCGGCCAGTGACAACGTGACAGCCAGCATGAGCGACAATGCGACAGCCATCATGGCGGCCAACGACAATGCGACGGCCATCATGGCAGCCAGTGACAATGCAACAAACATCATGGCGGCCAGTGACAACGTGACAGCCAGCATGAGCGACAATGCGACGGCCATCATGGCGGCCAACGACAATGCGACGGCCATCATGGTGGCCAGTGACAATGTGACAGCCAGCATGGTGGCCAACGACAACACGACGGCCAGCATGAGTGACAATGCGACAGCCGTCATGGCGGCCAGTGACAATGCAACGGCCATCATGGCGGCCAGTGACAATGTGACAGCCATCATGGTGGCCAATGACAACACGACGGCCAGCATGAGTGACAATGCGACAGCCGTCATGGCGGCCAGTGACAATGCGACGGCCATCATGGCAGCCAGTGACAATGTGACAGCTAGCATGAGCGACAATGCGACGGCCATCATGGTGGCCAACGACAACACGACGGCCAGCATGAGTGACAATGGGACAGCCATCATGGCGGCCAACGACAATGCGACAGCCGTCATGGCGGCCAGTGACAATGCGACAAACATCATGGCGGCCAGTGACAATGTGACAGCTAGCATGAGCGACAATGCGACGGCCATCATGGCGGCCAGCGACAATGCGACGGCCAACATGGTGGCCAGTGACAACGTGACAGCCAGCATGAGCGACAATGTGACAGCCATCATCGCGGCCAACGACAACGCGACAGCCATAATGGCGGCCAGTGACAACGTGACAGCCAGCATGAGCGACAACGTGACGGCCATCATGGAGGCCATTGACAATGTGACGGCCATCATGGAGGCCATTGACAATGTGACGGCCATCATGGCGGCCTATGACAATGCGACGGCCATCATGGCGGCCAACGACAATGCGACAGCCATAATGGCGGCCAGTGACAATGTGACGGCTAGCATGAGTGACAACGTGACGGCCATCATGGAGGCCATTGACAATGCGATGGCCATCATGGCGACCTACGACAATGCGACGGCCATCATGGAGGCCATTGACAATGTGACGGCCATCATGGCGACCTACGACAATGTGACGGCCATCATGGCGGCCTACGACAATGCGACGGCCATCATGGCGGCCAACGACAATGCGACGGCCATCATGGCGGCCAACGACAATGCGACGGCCATCATGGCGGCCAACGACAACGCAACGGCCAACATGAGTGACAATGCGACAGCCGTCATGGCGGCCAGTGACAATGCGACGGCCATCATGGCAGCCAGTGACAATGTGACAGCTAGCATGAGCGACAATGCGACGGCCATCATGGTGGCCAACGACAACACGACGGCCAGCATGAGTGACAATGGGACAGCCATCATGGTGGCCAACGACAATGCGACAGCCAGCATGAGCAACAATGCGACGGCCATTCATGGCGGCCAACGACAATGCGACAGCCGTCATGGCGGCCAGTGACAATGCGACAAACATCATGGCGGCCAGTGACAATGTGACAGCCAGCATGAGCGACAATGCGACAGCCATCATGGCAGCCAACGACAACGCGACGGCCAACATGGTGGCCAGTGACAACCTGACAGCCAGCATGAGCGACAACGTGACGGCCATCATGGCAGCCAGTGACAACGTGACGGCTAGCATGAGTGACAACGTGACGGCCATCATGGAGGCCATTGACAATGCGATGGCCATCATGGAGGCCATTGACAATGCGACGGCCATCATGGCGACCTACGACAATGCGACGGCCATCATGGCGGATGGCGGCCAGTGACAACGCGACGGCCATCATGGCGGCCAGTGACAACGCGACGGCCAACATGGTGGCCAGTGACAACGTGACAGCCAGCATGAGTGACAATGTGACAGCCATCATGGCGGCCAACGACAATGCGACAGCCATCATGGCGGCCAGTGACAAGGTGACGGCCAGCATGAGTGACAACGTGACAGCCATCATGGCGGCCAGTGACAATGTGACAGCCAGCATGAGTGACAATGCAACGGCCATCATGGCGACCAACGACAACGTGACAGCCATCATGGCGGCCAGTGACAAAGCGACGGCCATCATGGCGGCCAGTGACAAAGCGACGGCCATCATGGCGGCCAGTGACAAAGCGACGGCCATCATGGCGGCCAGTGACAAAGCGACGGCCATCATGGCGGCCAGTGACAAAGCGACGGCCATCATGGCGGCCAGTGACAAAGCGACGGCCATCATGGCAGCCAACGACAAGGCGACGGCCAGCATGGCGGCCAACGACAATGCGACGGCCATCATGGCAGCCAATGACCTGACACCTGTAAAACAACCTAAGAACAGACCAAAGGTGCTCAAAAGCGGTCAGGAAGCTGCTGGTGAAGCCACAGTGAAGGCAGCTGGAAGCGGCGCAGCAGCAAGTGGAGACACAGATGTCGGAGCTTTAGTGTCAACTCCACTACATGTATATCAGGATCTGACACGGTCACACTGAGAATCCCTTTTTAAAGTAGGAAAAGGTTTGAGGAACCATGCAAGAGTTCATTGTGCATCACAGATGTCTGCATGTACCTGCTCTATCTTTCTCTGCTTTGAATAAAATTCTTAACTTTATTTGTTTCCTTATTTTATTCCAGCAAATAGGGTTTTGGAAATTAACAGGTTAAATAACAATGTGTTTACCTACAATGGTTCATATTGGTATTTGGATAGATGACAAATTCATTCAAAAATAGACAATCTTGTCAGGAAATCGAGTGGGTTTTTTTTCCTCTTGCACATTATGGTAATGTGATTTTATAGATATGCCTTGGATGTGCATTCTGCCTTTAGGTTTGTTACTGGTGTTCATAGTACTTATCAATGCATCATGTATGAAAGCTGGGTTGTCTCCTGTCTGAAAGATGTGATTTTGACTTTTGGCATATCCATTTATCTACAAGGCCCTTGTTTAGCTGCCATCTTATATCACTTTTACCCTAGACTGGTTCTCTGGACTATATCAAACTCAGTCTAATGACAGGATTTTACTGTAAGTCCCTCATTTATACTGGGCTTGGAAGATCTTCTAGTTTTTATACTCTGACCTCCTGGAACTCTTTGTGATGCACCCTAAAAATTCTTTGGTGTTTGACACTTTGTGGCAAGTCATGTAATTCATCCTGGTCAAATAATTTTGCAAATCTGTTAACTACCAGAATACTGTACCTGCCAATGGTACTCTTTTCCCTATGCCAATCTTTCTAAATGTGCTCTAATTTAAACCTGAAGAGCATTTAGAATTTCAGCCACATACCCAGTTGTATCAATTGTAAGATTTTAACCACAAGGAGACTTGGGGGGGGGGGGGACTGCTCCAGAGGGCACATGTGAGACTGGCAGTGGTTCACCTTTCAACACCACAATGACCTGAAACATACAGCCAAGATGACGCTGAAGTCACGGTCTATGACTGTCCTTGCCCAAGCCCAGACTTAAACCCTATAGAACATTCATCATCCAATCAAAACCAGTTTGCTTTTGATTTGTGACATGCTGCATTATCCTGCTGGAAGTCCCCATTAGAAGTTGGGTACATTGTGGCCACAAAGCGATGCACACGGTCAGAAACAATATTCAGTTAGGCTGTGTTATTCAAACAACAATTGATTGGTATTAGGGCACCCATTATTTGCCAAGAAAACATTCCCCACACCATTATACCAAAACCACCAGCCTGGACTGTTGACACAAGGCAGGTAGGCAGGTTGGGTCCATGGACTCATATAGTTGTGTCAAGGGGGGCATACAACTCATCACCACTGAATAGGAGTACTTATTGCACATGTACACAATTACTCAGTCAGGTGAAATATCTTTCATGTATAATAACATTATTATACATGCAATCTTTCCGTGATTCTTCAAGATTCATCACTTAAAGATGTCATGATAGGGGCTAAACAGGAAGAGGCCTAACACAAGGCAACAAGGCATTTTCCCTGTTGTTTGCCATGGTTACAATTACATTAAAGTACATATCACTTCATTTTTTTTTTCAAATCCCTGTTGTTTAAGCATTTTTTAAACTCACAATAGTGGGAGATCATGGTTTCCAGTAACACTTAATGTCAGTCCTAACTTCACTGGTCAGCACTGATATTCACAACTGCATATCTGCAAACTATTTCAAATACATTTATGGATGTGTGTTTTTGTCAACAATTAAATCTAACTGACCATATGAAACTCATTGACTTCAACAAAAATAACTAGTAAAACCAAACAGTAGGTGTGCAATAGAAAGAACTTGTGAGAATGAGGATAGATCATAAATAAATTATTTAAATCTTCAGGGCACCGTTCACAAAAACAACTAACATCAATGTCATTCTTAAATCTTATCAAAAAGACCGTCAAGGTGTAATACCAATGAATGATCCTAAAAGACACTTATCTAATCTTACTGGTAACCAAAAATCATTACAGTAAATTCCAGATTTTGTTCCAGTTAAATCCAGATGAGATTATCCGTAAATAACACATATCTCGCCATCGTTATTTTATTTTATTTTATTTTATTTTATTTTATTTTATTTTATTTTATTTTATCGTCGTCGTCACATTTAGGCGTTACCCGTTTCGTCCTGACGTCATGAAATCTGTCCTTCCGCTGCCGGTACACTGAACGTGAACTGCCAAGAAGAAGAGAAGAAAAAGCAGAAGTGGCGAGAACGTCGAAACAAGCACAGATTGGCTTTTTATGACACAGAGTTGCAGCCGAAAAAAATAAACCATCGTGTCCAAGAGCTGTGAAAGGCGATCGACTCTCGGTAGGTTTCACGACGCTCTCTCACGGTACCGTTTATTAGCCGGCATGTGAAGTGGCGGCTAAGCTCTGTTAGCTAACGTGTTAGCTTGTAAGGAGCAGAACCGGGATGCGCCAGTTTGATCCCAGAATTAACCAACTAACTCAGGCGAGGCTTAGAGTATAGCAGCCCGCTGTTCGTGCTGGTTGAAATACTGACAAATCCAGAGATTTGGACTCTTAAACTAAAGGTTTGTCGCATTATTAATCACAAGCTAACTAAAGCTAACGCGATGCTCGGTGGGTTCAGGGCGGGGAAACGGCTTCATGTCTGTGAGATAAACTGGCTCACGAAAGCCGGCTGGCGTGTTTAGCCAGCGACAGAAACGTAGCTAGTCTTAGCTTCATCTTGGTCGCCAGTAAAAGTAAATTGGCAGCTAACGGATTCAACTGTCAGATGGTAGCTTGCTGGTTAACGGACCATACAGTCCGATGGGTAGCCGCATGGTTAAGCTAATTTTTTGGAAGCTAAGCTGCTTATGACTTGGCTAACTGCGGCTAACGGTAGCTTCCAAGTTTCTGAACGGGCCCTGTTGCATTTAGCTGCTGTTACTTTCTGTCAACCGGGATGTTATTAAGTATAGTTACAACTATCGATTATTTTCATTGTTCATAATCCGATTGTTTTCTCGATCCATCCTTTAGTGCACTGAGTTTCAGAAAAAAAATTGACAAATTTAGTGTTTAGCCACCACAATGGACAAGAATATAACACAGATTATTAAAGTACTTGAATTTAACGTTTTCTGAACGTTCTTCTTTTTCGAGTTTGCAGTCTATCTGAGATTCATTTATGGATGTGTGTTTTTGTCAAACATAAAATTCTACAGTAAATGTTCAATATAACGGGTAAAAATGCGAGTCGGTGTTGAATAAAAAAATGAACTGCCTGACAGCTGTTTGCTTCAAAAATAAAATAAAGATTATACAAATCTGAAAATGGATTTTAAATAGCCTTAGGACTAATGATGTCAAAACCCTCTGGCAACATTCAGTGGGTCAATAGTAATATTAACTTCAGTATTAAACTTTGTGTTGTCCAACCAACAGCCCAAAACCCAAATTTATTAGATATACAATGATATGATGCAGAGAAAAGCAGAAATGAATCACATTTGAGAAGCTAGAGACAAAGAATGTTTCTTTAATTTAGCATGAAAAACTCTGCCCTGGGAGGGTAGTGGTAGTGTTAGTTTACCTGCACGTTATTGTTGAGTAGCTGTTATTTGAATCAGGTTCATTTGAAAGAGGAGTGTTGGGCTTTTTATTTCTCAACAGTGCTTAATCCATTTAGGACATTTAGGAGTGTTTGACTGGTGTTGGGACAAAACAAGTCATTTAATGATGTCACCTTGCCTCTTTCTTGGCTCTGGATTAGTGTGATGGGCATTTTTCACCTTTTTCTACTGTTTGACTAAAGGATTGATTTATTGAAATAATAATTTTCACATTAATCGATAATGAAAACAAATCATAACCCTAACCCATGGTATAATCCATTAATTGTTGAACAGTGGCAACCAGAGGTCAAAGTTAAACATTTTCATTTAATAAATCAGCAACACAGCCTGCGTTAACAATCAGTTGATAAGACAACTGCTCATATGATTGAATATTTTCACCAACACATGACCGAATGTTTGCGTTATCTCTCATTTAGATGAGAAATCACCTACCACAATCAGATTATTTGCGCATCCAAATACAATAGTCAACTACATCTGAAGAGAACTGTTATTCCTGTTAAGCCTCCAGCTATTGCTCTCAGCTGTTGAGGAAATAACTGGCCCTGCCTGACCTGAGATGAGCTACAGCAGCAGGGACTGTGGATGAGGGTTTCTGTTGTAACCAGAGCCCTTGTGGCGACAGTCATTATATACAGTATACTGTATGTGCAAAATGATTATAGTGCACATATGATGACTTCTCATCAACCTCTCTCTTATAGTTTCTGACTTCTGTAGTTGGCAGCACTGCTGCAATCATCCAACAGAATATGACTTTGTATCGGGTAGTTGTAGTTAAAGACAAATGCTTGTGGTTCCTATTATAAGGTATTGATTTGGGTGTGTCTGTTCTGTGCTCAGTGTAGTTGTGTGTAGAATGGTTAGTATTGTCTAAAAGGCAGAGCCTGGGCTGTGTTAGGTTTCTACAAGGTAACTACAAGTAGATCTAAAATATAATGTTAACTTGGATGCTAAAATTGAACAATTTCTCTCTATAAATCATGTGATTATTTTACAGTAATTCTAAATGCCTTATGTGTTTTATTTGTTTGCCTACAGCTGGAATGATTAATTGCTCAGCAGAAGATTAATTAGCAAATATTTGAATTATTTGGTATTTGAAGATGTCAGCTTGGGATTTGGGATATTGCGATGCCCATTTTTTGTACATTTTCTGATATTTTAGACTTTAGATTTTACAGAAAGAATTAACAACTCATTAGCTGTAGCCCCAGTGATCCCGCAGAATGAAGGGTGTAGGCCTTTGTTTATCTAAGATTTTGTGTCCACACAAATAATTTCTGAAGTATTAACCAAAGTTGCTTTGCATGTCTCTGTGCATTAGGAAGGTCTTGGCCATGTTTTTTACAAGCCAGTGTAAAGTGGAAAATGCCTCATATTAATAATGACACAGTGTCAAGGATGCAAATGAACTCTGAGCCACCAGCCATGTGCGTGTGTGTTTTGGCTGTGAGCAGTTATGTGTCAGAGTGGCTGGTAAAGCATATGAACCGTCATCACGTAAACGTTTCTCTCCGCCTGACATCTGTCTTCTCCTCGTGTTGGCAGGTGACCGACAATGGCTGTGAACGTGTACTCCACCTCAGTGACCAGCGACAACCTAAGTCGTCATGACATGCTGGTCTGGATCAATGAATCTCTACAGATGAACCTCACCAAGATTGAAATGTTGTGTTCAGGTAAGAAATATGTTTTGATTTTCTCTCTTATTATCTGTATTTCAATATGAGACCTCCTGAAACGGTTCCTGGATTGAGTGCTCATGTTGGAGGAATGGAGGGTGTGAGCATGTGAGAGACTTTGCATTATTGTGTGACTTCATTTGCGTTGTGGTTCACAGCAGGTCAGTCACCACTGAAGCCTCTGTTTTTATCATGAGCCAGTAAAACATGTTCTTTAAGGTTGAGGCTTTGTTTCATCAAATTATAAACAAAATGTTGCAGCTTAAACCTGCAGCGTGGATCCTTTGATTCCCCCTTCAGGCACTGAGAGTACTTAGACAAATGGGATTCTTCACTGAGGAAAAGCCGTCACTAGTTTTTCTTTGCTGTCAATCGCTTTCTCTTTCAGACTGATTCTTTGTTTTTATCTGGAGCATCAGAAACTCCTCTTTGACATTTCTTAGGTTTTTCTCACTCCTAGCTGCTGTAGCCAACTCTTGTCTCCGTTGCTACCGTCTTCACCTCTGGTAAACCAGTATTTGCTGGTTGACGTAAAATGCATTGCTACCGATGAGGGGACGTCATCACAGACAATATATTTAAACCTCTCGTATACTGCAGATTACAGAGAAATTTACCTGGAGCTGATTGGCTGAATCAGCATTGTGGGAACTCGTTTGGCAAAGGCTTGAATGTAACAGATGTTCATTTATATGTTATGTAAACTTGCCTGGTTTCAAATTTGAACTGTAATTAATCACACTTAACAAACTGCACACTGTGCACTTAGGCTCAGATGCCATTTTATGAGGTACACCTAGCTAAAACGAATGCTTTCAAATTCAGTTGTGGAAAAAATAGGACCTTCATTAAGGTTGATGTTTTTTTTTGTTTTTTTTGTTAAACGTTTTACATCAATGACGTTAGATTAAATAACAGAAACGGCTCTCTGTATATTGCAGTGCAGTTACACAGCACCACTGAATCAGCACTATATTATGGTTAGACAGGTGTAAGCAGATATAATATTGATGGTAACTGACTCCATAAAGCCACCTGCACAGCCTGTAGGGAACATCAGCCATGGCAGGTTCAAATGGTGATGGAGGCCAATAGGAACATTTTGTGCCATTGCCTGAACCCCATGACTCCCTTATATCTTTCACACCTTTGTTTCACACCGACCTGCCTGTGCAAGCATGTGTTGTACCTCTGCAGATGTTAATGTCTAAACCCTCAGTTTTTAAATGTGTAATTAAAAGGCCTGTCAGAACAGCAGATAGCAGCACAGTTTGACTTAATCCCAGGTGGACAGATATATTAGTCAACTGCATTTTCATCTGCAGTTGAAGAGTTCATATAAAAATAAGACTTAACCACTGGGTGTGGATACCATATACTTACAACAAAATAAAACCTGTATAATAACGGTCTACAGCCTGGATCTTCTGTAGTTTAGATATACTGAGTTAGCACTTCTGTAATAATTTTATTTCAAAAATAGGAAATGAGCTGTAACTAAGTGCACTACAGGCCAAACCTGACAGGACTAAACTGTTTTTAGGCTCTGGTGACATGTAGGAAGCTTTGTGTGAACACAAACAGTCATATAAGAACTGAAGAACTTATAAGACAGAATAATTTGACCTGTATTGCTGTTTGATACCCAGCCCTAATGTGCATTTGTGTTTAATTTAGTTCAGATGATCATAGTAGTGAAGGAGGTGGCACTCCTGTTTTGTAAATACTGCTCATTTACCCCAGAGCCAGGCGGTCTGCTTTCAGCTGCTGTTTCCTGTCCTACAGTACAGAAGAAAGGTGTTTTTAAAAAAAAAAAAAAAAAAAAAAGAGCTGATGGGAAGATTTGTGTGTCATCGATGTTTAAATAAAGAAATGTCTCCTCAGTTTTACATGAAAGGAAGATGAGCTCTATTTTTACCATTTTCTTTTTTTAGGAATCCACCAATTTCAAACATGCAGCACTCAACCCAGTCCCTGTAACGATTTTACTATATTAAAACCATGGAGGATTTGTAATGCAATGTTTTTTTGTTTTGTTTTTTGTCCAGGTGCTGTCTACTGCCAATTCATGGACATGCTGTTCCCCAACTCTGTGCCTCTGAAGAAAGTCAAATTTGGTGCCAAGCTGGAGCATGAATACATCCACAACTTCAAGCTTCTGCAGGTTTCTTTCAAAAAGATGGGAGTTGACAAAGTAAGTAATCACACGTACCTACATGTCAAATTACAAGACAGAAGGTTTGGAAATATTTGAAGGAATTTCTGATATTAGAGGGCAGCAAAAGAGAAATCAACACATTTTTTATAACATGCAGTTGTCATTTGCTGCGTGTTCAGTCTGCTACCTGTGTCATGTACCTATTTGTCGCTCTTAGAGGGAATCTGCAGAGCTCTGTGGGAAGAACATGAAATGATATTTTATGATTCCTACATGAAAAAAAGTTCATGTAAAATGAACTCAATTCTGGAGGCATTGTTTTTAAAAAAAATTGCTGACTATTTTCATATTTTCTGGGCTTGTCCTTTTTATTTTATTTTATTCAAATTAAATTGCCAATGAGATGATGAAAATATGTGGAATAGAAATAGATTTGTCTTTTGTTACTTTATACCTGAGAGAAATCCTGGATCAATATCACACAAGGTGAAACTCTTTTAAAAACCTTCACATGGACATGGCTTCAGGCAAACAAAGGACAATTGGACTTAAATTGCATGATCAATGTAAATCATGTAAAATACTTGAAAAACTGAAAGGACTGAAAGGTTAATGTGCCTGCAACACCTGTTTAGACACAACTACTTTGTTGCCCATGCTAACCCAGAAAGGTCCAAATCAGACCCTAACCCCTTTGACTGAGGCTTCCTTTTCTGTTTCTGCTTCACAATAAAAGCCTTCCAGTGGTTGTCCGGTGAAAAGCTTTTACTGTGAAGCAGCTGCAGGAAGTATTTGGATTATGATGATGGAATCTTAACTTGGTTACAGCTCTGAACAGTAGCAATGAAAATGAGAGAGAATGTGAATCATGTTGCCTGATTGTTTAGGATTAGTTTGCACTTAGTCCAGATTACCACGCAGTCCGCCCACTCTTTCCTGTGGTGGTGGTGGTGGTTGTTGGGGACTATACTTGAGTTCAACCCTTCTCTTGTCACATACTCTGCTGTCACCGCAAAGAATAATTATCTAGATGGTGATAATGGTGTGTTTTGTAAGGACTGTCTAAGTTCTTGCATAAAGACGTGTAAGAAATGTTGGAGTTGTGAAATTGAAACTGCACAACAACAAGAACAGGAAACAAAGTGTTTTGACCCTTGATCACTGGCTGGTTGTTAGAACTGAGTGTCAGAAAGTGTTTTAAGAGTAACGTCACCGTTCGTCCCTCACTGCTGTTTGACATGCAAACTGAAGCTCCTGTCGTCCCCTCCCAACCAGCTGAGCTGCTTCTGCTGATCCAGTCATGAGTCATTTTGTTTTTATTAGCACTTTGTTTGCTCATCTCTCATCTGTCCGTGGATACTGTTACCTCTGTAATGTTTTCATCTGTCGGAAAGCAATGAGACAGCAGTGCATATGCAGAAATACAACTGCAATGCTCCACTGTATTTTCTAAGCCCTGCTCTCTAGCACACTAGAGTCAAATAATGAGTTTGTGTTTTGTTTAAAATAAACACATTGTTCTGCTGCTGCCCTCTGAAAGGAGGCAAGAAGTCAAACTCCACCTATCTGCATTGGTTTCACCTTGTCCTCTTTGCTATCACAGGCTTTTTAATAGCAAATGAAATGCAGCTTTACTAACATCATAATGTGTCTGTATTGTGGAAAGGCCAACAAAGATTACAAAAGGCAGGGCAGGTTTGGCTTACTCATACTCTGTTTTCAGAATGAGCATGCAGCTGCTTGCAGGACTATTGACAAAGCTGCCATAATTTATTCATGGACCGACTTCCTTCCTGTCGTCCATTTGTTTTAAGTCATTACTGTGGACCTGTGTGCTGTTTGAAATGCCCGGACAGCGTTTATCCACAGATCCTTGTCACATGTGCAGCACATCAGTGTATTCATGTTCAGGGTCCTAATCCCAGGCATTGTGTCTGTGTTCTGGACTTTGCCCTCATTCGTGCTTTGTGAGTGTGTATTGTCCAATGATGTCAGCTTCCTCCATTGCTGAGTAATTGGGTTTGCTGCTCAGCCTTTCCCACTGACTTCTCCTGTTTTTTTTTTGTTTTTTTTTTACTGCTTCTCCAATTTCCTCACTGTGGCTTCGATTCTTGCTTGCCCCATATTTTAATGTTTGCATCAGCAGGGAAGACATTTTTTAGTTTTTAACAAACACCTTTTCTTGGTCGAGCGTCCAAACAAGCCATACATTGTTTGTGATTTTATTCCGGCTAGTCAGTAGTTGGCTCTGAGCATCTCTTCTGATTGGCTGTTTTCTGAGCAATCGAATAAAAGTATAGCAGATTTCAGGTAAACACTCAGAGAAACCAAATCCTGCAAAGTTGGATGATGGGTCCAGGTGGGTGGGGCTTGGGGCTTGGCTAAGTGGTCACTGCTTTGTTGTGACATCACAAAGTTACAGAGTCCTGACGGCTTGTTTTAAGGCTCAGTCTCTGAATACAGGCTGTGTGCATTTCTCTGTGGACTGAGCGCTTTGATACTTTCACAGTATTGATATAGAACCTAGACCTGCTTTATAATCAAAAAGACATCTACCTTTATACAATATGGGACCTTTTTATGTTCTTTTGCTCACTGACATTTTTAAACAGTTTTCCTTACTGCTATTTCAGTGAGCTACATACTCAGAAACCTGGTAGGTAATAAACCATGAAGCATTTTTTTTACTATCTAGTATTTCAATAGGTATTATAATGTACATTTTGGCTTTGTGTTGTTTATAGTGCTGAATGAGTGAAGTTACACCGTTGGTCAGCTAAATGCCGTATGACTGAGTGAAAAGGTTACTCCATTGGTCAGCCAGCTAGAGTGTTAGTTTCCCCATTGGTTGTTGCTCTTTCAAAATGATTTGGCGCAAATAAACATTGTTGGTAGTTTGGCACCTTTGTCTCTATTAAAAAGCCCTCGGTGACAAATCTGGCAACTTTTTTGCATAAACCTCAGCCACTGTCCATAGAAGATAGTCATCAGTATGATCCTACACAGACACACCTCTCTATGCTCACCAAACAGCAGCTGACGTGAATCGAATTCTCACAGAAGCTGGAACCAGCAAATGCTTGGCATTTTGTTTTGCTTCTAAAATAACTAAAACAATTAGATACAATTGTATCAAAATAGTTGATTTATTTTATGTTGACTAATATTTGTAACTCTGATTTTTGTTTTTGCAATTTATAGTAAGAAGAGCTGAAATGATTAAGTTTAAGAAAATTAACAGGCATAAATTTTGATAATTGATATATTGATCCAGTCATTTTTCAAAATAAGCTCAGCTTCTCACGTGAGGATTTGCTGTTTTTCTTCATCTTGTATGATAGTAAATTGAATAGTTTTGGCTTTTGGACTGTTGGTCGGACAAAACAAGCATTTTCAATATGTTGCATTGGGCTCTGCGAAGATATAATGGACATATTTCATTTTGGTATCAATACCAAAGCTAATGAATTGCACTGACAGGGGTATATGTCTATTTAGTTAATGAACACAGAATATTGATATTTTTCTTTGTGCTCACAGATCATTCCAGTGGACAAACTGGTGAAGGGGAAGTTCCAGGACAACTTTGAGTTTGTTCAGTGGTTTAAGAAGTTCTTTGATGCCAACTATGATGGAAAGGAGTACGATCCAGTGGAGGCGAGGCAGGGCCAGGACGCCATGCCCACACCTAACGCTGCAACGTCAGCTCTCAACAAACCCCCTAAAAAGGCCATCAGTCAAGGTAAGAGCTCTGGTTGGTCAAACAGTTTAAAACTTATAATGAATTATGACAGGAAAAGCCTGGTTCAATTCACCTGCTGTGAAAGGTGAAGTTTGTCTTTTGCTATGTGTCTCTTCAGCTCCTCAGAGGCCACCTGTTGCCAAGGTAGCGCCAAAGTTGGCTCCCGTCAGCGCAAGGAAGCCGGGGATGGGAGGAGGTGATGAGGAGAGGGCGGAGCTCCTGAATGAGGTCAGTACAGCACTGTGGGGAAAAAAATCCTTTCTATATGATCAGTGAAAAAACTAAATCCAAACAATCACCATGGAAAAATGAAGTAACTTGTTAGTTTTACAACAAGCAAATTAAACTACTTTTACATAATATTGAAATGAGCTTGCTTTTGTGTATTGAAAGAGGAGGTGTAAAAGTAGACTGTCAACACTGGAAACAAAACAAAAAATGTTATATTTTCCCTTTTTCCATAGCTGGAGATCCTGAAGTCTACCATTCAGGACATGGAGAAGGAGAGAGACTTTTATTTTGGTAAGCTGCGGAACATTGAGCTGATTTGTCAGGAGAAGGAAGGAGAGGGCGACCCCACACTGCAGAGGATCGTAGACATCCTCTATGCCACAGACGTGAGTGTCTCATCTGTTGTAAGCAGTTTTTATTTTTTAACTGATAACCAATAATATGAATTGATTTTAAAAATGTGCTACGTTGGCTCTGATGCAGTCCCCGGTCCCTGTCAGTAGTCACCGCTCTGTGGTCTGGAGCAATGTCTCACCCACAGCACCATCTGATTGGTTACGACACCTGGACACCACGGCGAGTGTCCTTATGTAGCAGTAGTTTTGTGTTGGCATATCGGTTCCAAATACCAGTTATCGGTCTCCTTGATTACTCATAATCGGTATTGACCCTGAGAAAACCATGTAGGTCGATCCCTACACTAGCTCACCGCCTCAGAGAATAGTCCCCAACAGATGCAGTATTTCCTCCTGTTTGAATAAGGTTTGTTGAAAAAAAAGGAAGTTAAAGAGCCTTTTTAAAAATGAAATGATAAATTTGCGAGCTGTTTCATTTTTTAAGATTTTGTCTTCACTTGGAACAGATGGGTTTGGGGTTGAATGCCAGCAGCTGGCTGGGGTAGAGGAAAAGTGTTGAGTGATGACGTAACGTGTTGTTGATTTGTTGACATTAACAAAAATATAGAATATCACCAGGCTTGTTCTTTAAAGTATCCTGTGTCAGCGAGTGTGCTCTGTGATACATTCTTAGTTCAGTACCAGATTAAAGCCCATTTGCTCTGCTGTTAACAACTGCTGATGCCAGTGTAAATTCCTGCAGAGGAATGGCATGCAGCTCGCTCTCTAAAGGCTGGAGGGCTTCACTGGTGCATGTTGAGCAGACAGTATTCAATGTGCCTGTGCACATCTGATAAATAAAGATGTTGTTGGGTGGTGGGGGGGGTTTCCTGATTGTTTTGAAAAATGTTTTTTTTTTTGGATAAGTCTCAGACTGATAGTGTGATGTCAGTGTAGGGATCTCACCGCACAGCTGCTGTCATTAATCTGTGTTCATTTTGTCAGAGTTTATCAACCACGATCAAATTTCAAACCTCTGACTATATTTTTCTATAAAGGATTCATTCCTTAATCAACAAGGACGAAAAACAATCGTTGATCCTCTCTTCAATCGTAGATAATTGGGTCTGATTGTCAATCAGCACAAGCCTGTTGAGATCCTCTATGTTGTAACTGCTATAATGTGTGTATGTTATGTAAGTCGGGCTCTCAGACTTCCCCACAAAGCTCAAACCACTGACACCAAAACTGAAACTCCAGGCTATTCTAAATTGTCTCTGGTGCTCTTCACTCATATCTCCTCACCCCCTCCCTCCCTCCCCCTCTGTCTCCGTCTCTCCAGGAGGGTTTTGTGATACCGGATGCTGAGGAGCAGGAGGAGTTTTAATATTCAAGACTGCAAGCAACTTTTCACTTAGATGCCCTGGTCTACAAACGAGATCCTTCCCCAAGCCAAGGCAGCCAGTTTGGTTTTATATCCAACACCAAACCTGATCTCGACTTGTGCCCCCTACGCCCACCCCCCCCCACACCACCACCTTTCCTGAACCCGAATCCCGACCTGCTGGACTTCTTCCTCTAGCCTTCAGCCGCCGTAACCGTACAGATCCACTCCTCCTCTTCCCGAAACATCCTCTACGAATAATCGACAAAGCCTCGGTCACTGCCTCTTCTCTTTACACACCCGTCAGTCTGCAAAAACCCCAGTCCCCACCCTCACCTGTAATCCCAAGCCTTCCCAAAACCAGATCGTGCAGTGTAAATCTGGTTTTTGTAATGGACTTCAGTGTGAAAAACACGGTGATGTTCTGTATGTGTATATGTGTGTGTGTGTGTGTGTGTGTGTGTGTGTGTGTGTATGTGTGTGTGTGGTTGTATGTGTTTAAAAAAAGAAAAGAAAAAAAAAATCAATTTGAAACAAATCAAAACGTGACGAACCTCCTCTGAAGACCCGGCTGTCAGTTCACCAATAACTTTGTCCCAAACTAACCCTGACGGTTTGTTTTTTTTGTTTGACGGCGCTGCAGCTGTTTGGTGCCTCTGCTGTTGACACCAATTTTGATTTGCTGGAAAGAAAAGCAGGAAAAAACACACACATTCCCGACTAGAAGACTTAGTTTTGCAGCATTTTGAACCAAATCTGAGGTGTAGTTTATATATTTTTTTTTTTTTTGCTGACTGGTCCCAATTTGAAATGGCAAAAATTGAATTTGACCCAGGCAGCAGGCTTTCAGAAACACAGCTAACTTCAGATGTAGAGGATTAGTTTGTTAGCTAGTTAGCGCCCGGTAGACCACACGCACTGACGCTGAAGGGCTCAGGCTTTAGTCTGGGACAAGGCAGCAGCCGGGTCTTCTCTTGGCCTTTTTTTTTTTTTTTTTTTTTTTCTTCACACAAATTGTCGCCACCAAGGACACCATTTTGATTTTGTCCTGTTCAGCCTTTTGTAAATTAATGCTACTGTTTTATCACATTTTTCTTCCCACTCCATTTTTTTCTTCTTCGTTTGTCTGGTTTTCCCTGTCACCTTTTTTTTTAATATATATGTATGTGTTTTCTCACGCTCACTAAATGATCACTCTGTTGGAAAGATTTTACTTGTGTGCAGAAACGTTTTTCCGGCCACCACAACAGAGGAAAAAAAGGGGTTTCGTTTAATGAAAACGTGGCTGCTGTTTTCCTGTAGCAGATCAGCTGTCTTTTTGCCACCCACTCGCTCCCACTCACCCTTGGTGTTCACATTTCGCGCTTCGTAAACGTGCAATTATTTAATACCAGGAAAGTGGCTTACTCCTCCGCTCGATGTGAGATGATGACGTTTAAAGCTTTTGCAGACGGCCGTCTTTTGATCAACATGCCAGTGTTTAGTAAAAAAAAAAAAAAAAAAAGACTGCACGATCAACAGTGATTGTTTTGTACGTTTTTCTTTTTGTTGTTGTTGTTTGTTTTTATTTTGGTTTTTTTTGTTTCTTTTCTTTTTGAAAGTCTGTTTTAGGGCAGATGCACTGTTTTATACCAGTGGCCTTTAATCAGCCCCCAGCCAACATTACAAACACTGTGAGCTCTGACTGTGGCTGATCGGTGTGTTCACCACATGTAGCCTGCCACAGTCGAGACCATCATCCAGAATCTGCCCGGCTGAGCTGTATGTGCTTCTCCCGGCCGTGTCATCAGGCAGATTGATGAAACTTTGATGTGGGATCAATATGAAACTAAAAACTAACACTTGCAACACTAGTAACTAGCAACTAGCAACAGTGACAAGTGTTTTTACCCTTGTTTTTGTATTTCCACGCCCTGATTGACCAATTTTAATACTAATATTGTTATTGATCTAATTTGAGACCAGTTTTTTCCACTGTACTATGTAAGATGTGTAGTGTTGATTTCACACAAACCCTGTTAACAGTATCTTGTTGGAATACATAACTTTATCAATGGCCTTATTCATAAATATACTTTTTTTTCTTTTTTTCATAAGCAGATATTTTTTATTTTACGTTAATGTAAGTCTCTGCTGTTTTGGGTAAATGTTTGTACTGTTACAGTCATATTTTTAATGTGTCCTGGAAATAAACAATGTTGGAGGTGTTTTGGACAAAATCTCAGATGTGTCAGGGTGCAGCAGACCAGCCTGTCTTCCATCAGATGCTCATAAAGCAAACAAACATAAGAAATATGTTCACGATGTGTGATGCTAGTGGAATTTAATTTGAAGGATTTCTGGTGAGTTATTTGTTTTTGTTTCTTGCCACCTGTTTGTTTCCACAGTGATATAAATGTAGACTTTCATCACAGCTGCAGACGTACAAAATGATTTTCTGTAGAATTAAATTAAAGATCAATTGGCTTTGGGTGCTGAGTTGAGCATGTGCATCTTTGGATAAACGGATCAGTTTAGTATTGAAATGTTGTAGCTGCATGATGTGACGGAGCCTTTAACAAACACTTCCATGAGGAAGATTGAATGTTGCACAGAATCAGAGGGTGCTTGGACTGATTCTTTTTTTTTTTTTTTAAATATATATTTTCTGGTAGTTTCCTTGATACTCAAACACATCTCCACTTTTACGACTAACTTCCAAATCATTTCTCAGAATGTCTTTTTCGACACTCCAAAGAGTGAATTGAAGTTTCTTTTTTCTAAGCACAGTCAAACTCGTAGTGTAGTGATGTGCAACTGCAGTAGCTTATGTTTTTTTTTGTTCTTTAATCTGCGTACTCCGGCACATCGGCTGGTGCGTGTGAGGTTAAAGTGCTGACTGACTTTCAGCTTTAATTTGACAGTTTCCACGTCTGTATTTGTTGAACAGCGAAGGACGTGTCTACTCACAGTCCCCCAATTTTATGGAGAATACAGCTGGAAAAAAATTATGTAGAGAAATCCACCAAGCAGATTATCAGAGTCTGTCACTTCTTCAGTTCATGTGATCATGTTTCACTGCTGAAGACAAGAAGCTGGCTCCCTGCTGTTTAGCCGATCAGAAGAGAGGAGGCTCTGAGGCGCTCTTTTGATTGGCTGACTGTTTTCTGAGCGATCCTATAAAAATATAGCAGATTTCAGGTAAACACTCAGAGAAACCAAATCCTGCGAGGTTGGATGGTGGGTCCAGGTGGGCGGGGCATGGCAGAGAGCGGTGACTCCTTTGTTGTGACATCATGATGGCTCATTTTAAGGCTCAGTTTCTGAATACAGGCTGTGTGCTCTGTGGACTGAGAGCATTGATACTTTCACAGTATTAATATAGAACCTAGACGTGCTTTATAATCAAATAACACATGGACATCTACCTTTTATATAATATGGGACCTAGAGCGTGTGTCAGGGTGCAGCAGAGCGTCAGTCTTACATTGAGAGGATATCATGATTTTATTTAGATGAATTTTTCCAACACATTCTTGGAGCTGTGCATGAAACAGATTTGTAATTCTCCTCATGCTCCTCTGATGTCAATCCAAACTCTGCATCAAATTGAAGCTGAAAGTCAGAATATAAGTCATTCTTCACTACTCTACAGAGACAACACAACAGCAAACGGTCACCGGAGATGATGTGCAGCGTTTCCCCTAAAAAATCTCCTCACTGTCAGGATTAAGTTTGTGCAAAGAAAATGTTTTGTAACTAAAACCCACTATTGTGCAGACTGTGCCAGAGAACACACCTTGAGCTAAGATCTTTGAGTTTATTTTCTAAATGAATCGATTGTTTCATCTATAAACTGTTACAAATGCCCAGATCAGAAAGTCATTCAGAGTGAGTGATTAGTTGCTGCAACCAGCAAATGCTTGGCAGGTTTGCTCGGACAATGAGTCAAACCATTAATCGATTATCAAAATAGCTGCTGATTAAACTTTTATCAATCAATTAACTGACTGTTTCAGCTGTGCCACCGCGATATGTACACTGAAAGCTGAAGCACAACCAAGTCATTGAAAATCTGACTGATATATGTTAAACTCCACCCATCTGGGACTCTGAGGTGGATGCAGCAGCAGCTCAGGACAGATTTGACCAGTTAAAGTTTCATGTTTTGTGTCAAAACTCCACATTCAATAGTTATTGAAGTTATTTTTCCTGATAGTGAGACAGTTGTGGGGGAAACCAGTTCATGTTTCTTTGGTGGGTTAATGCCGAGACAAATCGTAGCAGACTGAGGACAGACGCACACTGCAGGACACAGTGTAGATGAGCGGTTTCTGTTATGCAATGTCGGAGGGGAGTGGATGTCCCCCCCCTTTACACAGTGGCCTCTTTACAGTGCCAATGTAACCTCCTCCCTCCACCGACTCCCTGACAGCCTGTGTCTAATGAGCCATGATACTCACTCTCATGGCTCCAGCTTCTTCTCCAGTCTGATTTGTAACATAATGAGATTTTTGTTTTTGAGGTTTTGACAATGGCCTGTTTTTCCAGAGAAGTAGTAGAAAGTATTTCACATAGTGTGTTGACTCCTGTCTGGTTTAATGATAGTAGTAAAGTGTGTTATTGTAAGTGTTAACTGAGAAGGACTTTGTGTGTGCTGTTTGGTATTAAATTGGTACAAGTTTCTTTTTCACTCACACACTCACTGACGGAGTTCGTGGTTGCTATGGGGACACACGATCGTCATGTTGAGGCCTTCCGACTGATTTAAATCACGATTTAAATGTCTCTGTTTGATGACAGCTCGGCTGAAGACCTGGAACGTCAAGCAGGTGTGTGTGTGTGTGAGATAATGGCTTTAAAAGGCGACGGTGTCTGACCTCTGACCTTTCCCCTCAACAGTCAGTGCAGATGTGTGTGTACACTGTTGGTCTCTCCTCTCTGTCTAGGCCTCCCTCTCTTCTCTCTGCTGGACTTTGATGTGTTTGTTATATTCTGCTAAACTCGATTTTCTTGAATCAAGTTTCATACGGACAATAAAACAGTATTTCCACATTGGCGGAGGCCTGTTGTTGTTTGTCTTGACACGATCTTTTAAGTTCTTGATCATCATAACCGCATTGTTCAAACCTATGAATCAAAGAGTCAAGTCCAGTTTATTTATAAAGCACATTTAAAAAACAGCAGGTGTTGACCAAAGTGCTTTACAGAGAAATTTAGATACAATTAAACAATTAAAACAAAAATAAAAATAGATAAATGGCTGATGAAATTAAAATAATTATCATTATATTAATAAGTAATGGGAACTCAAAGGAAAAAGAGGTGACAGATGAGGAAGATCTCAGTTAAGAGGAAATAAAACGATGTAACTTCTAATAATCAATAAATAAATAGTTGATAAATAATGATGCTCTAAAGTAAAAAAACATTCTTGGCTGAGTCATTTGTCAGTGATGTCCTCCTACTCATACATGTTTGATTAGACAATGACTACCCAATCAGAGATATAGATTATTATACATCTGACATTTGTACTTTCTTTTAATGTAACATAACCTTTAATATTTTAATGTTGTTTCGGGACATTTTCCAACTTTATAATTCTTATGACATGATGACTTCACATACAGTAAATCCCAACACAACTCCAACCAGAGCAGGTCTAAGTTAAATAAATATAGGCAAGTAAAAATGTAAAATGTCATAGAGTAGAAGTATAAAATATCATAATTTTGATATACCTAAATAAAGTACAATGTACCAATGTACTTGGTTCATTTCCACCAGTGGAAAGAAGCTACTGCTAGTAACAGATTTTATTTGTTTATATTTCAAGTATTTGTAATTAATCTGCCCCTCTGTGTTTTAAACGATACTGGGTGTAATAATTACACTGGAACATGCAGCGAATGAGGAGGAACATGATTAAACACAAAGAGAACAAAGGAGCCTTGTGAGTCACACATGATCCCTCAGTCCGAGCCTGTGTTTGACCTTTGACCTTCAGCGGTCCAGCGCTGTGACATCAGAAAGAGCGCGAGCCTCTGGACTGTCACTGCTTCAGTTCTGCACAGAATTCCCTGTAATAGGAAACAGACAGAAACATGGCTACTCCTATCTACATTCATTTGTTGTTGTATTAAGACTTTTCTTTTTACTGTACTTATATTTTGTATTTCCTGTTTTACATCACTGTCATATGTAAGGTTTATATAGTCAACAGGGGTCAGACAAGAAAGGTGAACACCAGTAGACCCCCTTGCCCCCACCAATTTTTAGTGTATAATATTTATTTTTCTCATTTTCTGTATGAAAGTGTGACTGAAAAATAACAAAAAGAAACAATTTTATTGTTTTCTATCACATTTGACTGTCTTGACTTTTAGCAGTGCCAAAGGGACATTTGCTCTTTTTACCCAGGATTCATTGATTATTAGTAGTATTTTTCCTCCTTTCCTGATACAGTAGGCTACTTCATTTTGTCTTTAACTGGCTGCTTTCATTTCTCTTCGGCAGGTTTTGCTGCTGTCTGAAGTGTGTTTCCTTCCAAAGTTGAATGTTACTGCCACCTGTTGTTTGTCAGACCAAATTTCACTGCCATCCTTCATGCCACTGATCACAGTTATAGATAGACGGATACACACAACAACAATAGACTGTAGTCTAAACATAAGGATATTTAGGGCTTGAGCACTGAAGACATGCGAGGAAACCATGCTGTTTATAAAGTATTATTATATTATATTATTATAATATTGATATTAAGGTGTCCACCACCAGCTAATTTTTTTGTTTGCTCAGGCTTAATTGGTCACACTTTTCTAAATAATATTGATATTTTTGATAAGGCCTTTTAATGTAAAGTGTTTTAATATGTATCTGTGTGTGTGTGTGTGTGTGTGTGTGTGTGTGTGTGTGTGTGTGTGTGTGTGTGTGTGTGTGTGTGTGTGTGTGTGTGTGTGTTGGGTTGGGTTTTGGCTGAGGGATGGATAGGTTGTCTCTTTCTTTTTAAAGTGCTCTAATTAGTGGTAGATGGGCATGTTTCAATACAATTGACAATGAAGAGATTTATTATCTATTTCAATTTTTTTTTAAATGTTTTATGCTTTTTTTCAGTGTTTGTTTTCTTTTAATAAATAAATTGTCTTCTTCCCTTTTCAACTACAGGTGTAAAACACAATCATGTCCATAGAGGACAGTGTTGGACAACACTGAGACTGTCATAACAATGTTGACAGTTTAATTTATGTTTCTAAAAAATAAGTTAAGAGAGTCACAGATTTTGAAGTAGACAACTTCAAGCCCTTTTGTTCGTAAAAACACCCAACGAATCTGTAGAACTTTTAATTATAACTTTTTGTCCTGTATTAAGACTGGAGATATTTGGAGGTGTGCTGCTGCCTGAACCGTTTTAAGAATAACTTTTGGTCCTCCTCCTTATTCTTTCATATTTGAGTTTCACAACATAACAAGTTCTGCCGTCAGAAAAAACTTATTTTGTGGTATGCTTTAAACATTTACGACAACCACTTGAATGCAACAAGGGGTCGCATTTACTGCTGGTAGTGTTCTGAATTATGAGCTTTCCAGGAGTATGTAAATGCATCGTGAGCTCTGATTGGCTGCTGGTCAGGACCAAACAGAGTCGAGCTCAGAAAAAGACTGGCGAAGAAGAAGAAGCAGCGAAGTGTCAGAGCTGGGACAAAAACAGTCGTCCTCCGCCTTCCCGGGCAGCATGAAACATACTCTGCTGACTGGAAACAAGCTTTAAATGTGACTATTGAAGACGGACTAAGTCCATAGAGCTAAAACAGCGGGGCTCGTCTCGGCGCTCAAGTGCATCTCCCTCGTTTTCCTCTTCTGCTGCTGGAGTGAGCTAGCTTAGCCTGTTAGCTTGGCGGGGCACCCCCTCATCTTGTCCGTGTGTGCAGGACTTTACCACCAGGAGCGAAGAGATTCACCCGGAGCTGCACCAGAACTGACCTGGACTTTACTTAACAAACGCAGCTGCACGCGTTGGCGCCAACCTCGGCTTTTGCAGGCAAAGATTGACCCAAAAAGCAACAAAAATCACTCCGCTAAACAAGGAAGTCTGAATGAACTTTGCTGCTAGCATCCTGCTAACCCCGTAGCTGCATTGATTCATAGTGCTGCTCATAGGGGGAGGGGGTTCTGCAGCCTCCTTGCGGGTCCTCCGGTGCTGATATCGATTATCTGTGAGAGCATCTGTCCGTGTAATAGACGGAATCCGTCCGGTAGTGAAGTGTGCTCCGACACAAAACGTTTCAGAGATGATTCCAGACAAACCCCCGAAGGAAGACGTCTTCCACGGGTCTGAGGACCTGAAGAAGCAGGCTCACATCCCCAGCTTTGAGAAATACAAAGAGCTCTACGTGAAATCTATAGAGAATCCAGATGGTAAGTCACAGTTCAAGTGTCTGTCAGTGGAGTAAAGAGGAGTACACCTGCCCCCAGTGGTGGAAACCAACGTTGGTACATTTGCTCAAGTGCAAACCTGAGGTAGTTGAACTTCAGTATTTTCTCTTCATCCCACTTTATATTTCTGCTCCACTTAATTTATCTGACCGATTGACTGACTGGTTACTTCACAAATTAAGATTTTTACAAACTCTAAAAAGAACTTGTGTTGTTGATGTTTATAGTATTTACAAGTAAAACTAAAATCTAAAAGTTGATAAATTGATTCATTTTTGAAGAGGAAATGCCAAACATCTCACGCTTCCGGCTTCTCCCATGTGATGATCTTTAATTTAGTTTCAATAGGAGATTAATCCATAATGAAAATAATCATTAGTTGCAGCATTATATGAAATTGCACCTTAACCAAATGCTGCTTTTACATTAAAGCAGCAGCAGTAATAATTATTGTAAAATGTGATGTGTAATGTTACAACACTCATGGGGGAGATTCCTCTGCGTTTGGTACATTTAATTTAGCTGCTTTTTCGTGGTTGTACTAATTTTTTAACATTTTAAGTTCAGGACTGTCACTTGTACGGATTATTTTTGTGGTATTTGTTCTTTTCCTTAAGCAAAAGATCTGAATGCTTCCTCCACCGCTGTCTGTCACATGCAGTTTAAAGGCAGCAACTGACTCCGTGATGGTGTTAAAGCCCATGCATTTCATTAAAAGAGACAGAGTTGCAGCAATGTAATGTGCCAGAAATTATGCTGTACGTCTGTATTTGCATAAGGAGCAGGAAATGAGATCTGATCATAGGTGGTCTCTTAATGCCAGGTGTGAACAGGATCTACATTTAACTCAGTGTTATCTGCAGACTGACTGTACTTTATGACCTCTTTGGTAATGAGGAAGCAGCTCTGTCGTGGCCTTTGGTTGGAACAAGCCTATACCAACCTCGTCAGGCAGGAGGGGAGAAGGGGATGCTGTATCTGTAGAGCCATTGTTGGTCAAAGAAGCAGCTCAGGTTGCTTCCTTGTGAAGGAGGAGCGGTTAAGGGTGTGTAAAGTACGTCAGAGTAAAGGAGAGGCTGTCAAACAAGTTTGTGCAGCAGGAGGAAGCTGGATTCAGGCTCAGTGGCTCTCTGTCCGATGATGGGCTCCATGCTGGAGTTTAATAATGACATATACGTCCTGTAGAGTTGTACAATGGTGAAGTAATAAAGTTGGGTTACTGTGATTTTACAGTTGTGTAAGTTAATGATAAACGCCTTAAATTACGACAGTCACAATGTTGGCAGTTAAACCAGCTTTCGTTTTAGTTGTACCTTGAAAGACGGATGTTAATTATTTACAGTGACTTTATGAAATTGCTCCAAAGTTTATGGGCTCAGAAAGTCGGAGCATGACCACTGAAGTCCTGCAGCTCAACCTCAACCAGCTACAACAGTACAATGCTGCGTTTAAAGCATCAGTAATTATGAATGGATAATATAATATGAAATATAACCCTAAACCTTAACCCATAATTGTAATTTTTCAAGAAAAAAAAATTAGAGGACACTGGGAAACTGATGAAAAATGTTCACCATTTTCTGGAGCTTTAACTGATTAATTGAATGACTGAGAAAATAATCAGTAAAAATAAAACATGAAATAAAATTAGTTGCAGCCCTAGTGTTAATGGCGAGCTAGAAAAGATGAGTCAGTTGACTGAAGAGTTAATCAACAGAAACCATTTTGATAATCAATGAAATATACCCCTTTAAATATTTGCTGGTTGTAACTTCTCAAATGCAAAAGGAATGTTTTTTTTCCTTTGTCAAAAGATTCAATGATTAAGTCAAAAGAAATCTTTCATAAAAAAAAACTGGTAACCGTTGGTCCTTCTGGTCTGTTTCACCAGCTGCATCTTGCAACATGCAAACTGTGATTTGCAACATAAGATAATTTCCTCTCCTGTTGATTTTGACACCATCCATTAATCATATCAAAGTTCATGCATATGTGACTAATGCAGGAACAGGACTCACACATTTATCTGCAGGCTGTTGATAGTTGGGGAAATGCCGCCATTTGCCTTTTTATTTTTTTTTTATTTGTAAGCAGCTCTTGCAGATCATTTTTGTGAAATGACTGTGTGTGATTGATCAACTGACCCCTCTCTCTCTGTGCTGCAGAGTTCTGGGGAGACATCGCCAAAGATTTCTTCTGGAAGACCAAGCACACGGGTCAGTTCCTCGACTACAACTTTGATGTGACCAAAGGAGAAATCTTCGTCAAGTTCATGGAAGGTGCCTCCACCAACATCAGCTACAACCTCCTCGACCGCAACGTCCATGAGAAGAAACTCGGCGATAAAGTGGCCTTCTACTGGTAAGTATGAGTGTGTGTTTTCTCTCTCTCTCATCTCCGGTCCTTTGGTGAAACACTTGGTGGCCTTGTAGTGGTCAGCACTGCAGTGCGTCTGTAGTTATGAAGCTGTGTCTGTGGTTTTATGGCTGATGATGTGAGGTGCATTGGAGTGTGTTTCACTTCTTTAATTTGGTTGCGTATGTCTGCAATTATGATTATGACTCCCACAGTTAATTAAATGTAATAGGATGCGAGTGCTGATGTTTTGCCTTCAGCGTTTCTTCTCTGGTGCAGCAAGTTCATCTTGAGTTATTCTGACCAGTGAGTTGTTTTTCCTTCTTTTCCATCCCTTTATTCAGCGAGGTAAAAAACACAGTGAGATTAAAATAGTTTTCAGGAGAGTCATGGCCAAGAAGGCAACACAGAAACAGAGTTATAACAGTAAATACCACACAAACAACATAAGTAGGCCAATGAAGTTGTCATGTGCTACAAAGAAGAGCACAGTGATCAAGGGAAGGTTTTCTGTCGAGTTTCTGTATAAACATTCAACAGAGTTTAAGTTTACATTCAGTGTAACGCAGCAAAACACAGTGTGAGGTTTAACAAACATGTTAAATTCACTTCTGTCTTTTTCTATAAAACATTTTCAAAGCTGATTGATTGATTGATTGATTGATTGATTTATTTATTCGTGAATCTTTAAACCTGTATCGTTTAAGTTTAGTTTACATCCATGTCTACTTACCAACCGTTTTTTTATTCACTGCCTTTTGCTGGCACGTTGCTGCATCTCCCGGCATGTATAGATCAGGTTAATAGTGCGACACCATCACGTCACCGTCGTCATTGTGTGCCTGCTCAGACGGGTCCATAAAACCAATTCTCCACTGTGCTGCTATTGGTCAGAACTCCGCAGGGTGCCCACACAGGTTAATGAGCCTGCTCTGGTTACCTGCTCTCTGCTGCAGACACAGGTTGCCTGCAGCACGACAAAGAAAACCATCAACACAATTAGTGCAACAACCATTTACAAAAGTGATTTAATTGTAACCCTACATCAGTTATCAGGAGAAAATCAATTTTCGTGTGTGTGTGTGTGTGTGTGTGTGTGTGTGTGTGTGTGTGTGTGTGTGTGTGTGTGAGGAATGTATTTAAAGCCTCCTCTGCGTGCGTGCTTGTGTGTGTGTGTAGGCTCTTAATAGGGGGGTGGGGGTCGCCCCTGTGAACACAATGACAGGACTGAATGCCAACTGATCTTATGAATGGAGCTGCAGTCATCCCCTCTCCTTTGTCTTTCTCTCTTTCTCATACACTTCCTCTCTTTCTGTTCTTTCTTTTTCTTTTGTCTCCATCTCACACACTCCTCTATCTCCTCTTCAGTCTTTGCTCATTTTCCACATAAATATCAATGCTAATATATTAAATCTTACTCATGCAGCACTTTTAAAAACAGGCCACAAAGTGACATTTGAATAAATACATGAAATAAAGAAAATAAAAGTGAATAAAAGCCTCAGGAAAAATCAAAACAATGATGAGCATCAATAAAATGCCTGAGAGGAAAATTAGGTCTAATTAAAACAGGTTGAGAGAGTAAAGAGTAAAGAGTAAAGAGGGTAAAGTAAAAAACATAACCTTTAATTACTTTATGTTCACAATTGTCATAAACTGGGTCGCATGTCACAGTGGTTTTTTTCCATAACAAAACCATTAACTACAGACGTGACCTGTGTTTGCTGCACACTTCGTGGTTAAGTAAACAGCAAGCTACTTGAATTATAAATTAAGAAACATGAAATAGTGACTTCAGTTTAAGCTCCGGCGATTGGCCGGACAAACACAGTGTTAAACAGAGTAAACACATGCTCCGAGCATCCAACACATGCTTTCAGGAGCATCAGAAGAGCTGCAGCCTTCAGCTGTAAATAACCTCTAATGTTGTCAAACATGAAACAGGTTTCCCTAGTCTCCCTAAAGCACACTCTGATTTTACTGGTTTTATTTAAGGTAATACACAAACCTTATCTGCATGACAGGAGAGACCTATACTTTGTTTGCTACAGCTTACTTTGTTGACTCAGCTTTAATACTGTCAATTTAATACTTGCCAAACTTTTATCCAGTCCAGTTTGACGTTAGCATGAGCCTCAGATAGCGATAGATAGCAAAACATGGAGTTTTCACAACGTCACGCTGCAGTGTTCATCAACACGATGTGGGCGCAGTGAAGCACAGGAAGTCGCTTATTTCCTCCTTTTGATAAAAGGAGGTAATTCGTTTTTTTGTGCTAACACATGTAACACCATCTCATGAAACGGTAAGAAGCACCACCTAGTGGCGCAACATGACAGTTACATCGCACGTCCTCGTCTTCTGCATTGAAAAATTGATAATGTAATTATTAACTAATCGATTTAAATTGACATCCTGATGCCCAAATGAATCATAGTAACTGGAAAACCAGTATGCAGTATATGTCGGCTTCAACTGAGAGTTTTCAATACGACATGAAGCAGCTTGTTATTAAGAGGACAATCAGTTGCTGTTGCATCAGTGGTCTGCGGGGTGAAGTTATGTAAAGACTTTATTTTGTCCTCTGTCCACACATCTGCAACATTGTCATCTTTGTCTTATTTCTTTACAGATACATACCTGCTCATGTTCATTTCATTTCCTCTTCTCTTGACTCGGACTTTCTTTAATGAAAACACTGCACTTGTTCCTTTTTTCCTGAAAGCCTCTCTTCTCTTCTCCTGAGTTCTTTCTCTGAAGCCTCTCTGTCACTTTTGCTCTCCTCTCCCTCTTTGTGTCACTTGCCTCCGGACACTGATGTGTCCTCATATGTCCTGAGTGGTGAAGCCACAGAGACGAACGCAGTCGGACCACACAGGGCTTTTAAACCAGGGTTATTCAGGGAGAGGATGAGGAGGAAAGTGGGAAAGTGTGATTGAATGTAACAGTGATATCAGAGAGTGGGTCCGTCGCTATGATTATAGAAACAGATGAGATGACTTTTATCTGCAGGAAAAACCTCTGAAAGTTTAGTCAAAAGTTAGTATTATTCACCTGACAATTATTTTCATTACTGATAAATTTGCAGATTATTTTCTCTTAATTCGATTGATTAGTCTATAAGGTAGCAGTTATACCCCTGAAATACTCGTTTTACTATCAAACCTTCACATTAAAGAAGCTTGAAACAACATTTTCTGATGAATCCACAAATCTTTACTTTAGGTCAAAGTAATGTAAGATATTAATAGTAATAGAGGCTACAGGTAAAAGAAAACAGCTCAGAATAAAGAGCTGTAACAAATAGTCAATTTTATAAATTAGTTGGCATTGGAAAATTAATGGGCATCTATTTTGATAATCAATTACTTGTTGAAAGTAATTTTTCAAGCAAAAATGTCTATTTGTTCATTTCAGTCTGTCAAATGTGAGTATTGATGCTTTTATTTTGTCATGTATGGTAGTGAGTTAAATATCATTAATAGAAAAAAAGACATTAGGAGAAGTCACCTTGACCTGTGAGAAATAACCGTCTTGTTTATCAATTAATTGAGAAAATAATCAACAGATCAGTCAGTAATGATCCAGATCCTATTTTTGGTTTATGGATTGCTACAGTGTGTTGGTGATTTACCTGCTAGGGACATAAAAACATTTGGTACTTTTTGATAGTTGAGTCTTTAAGTTTTAAAAAGAGTAATTTTTTAATGATTTGCAATTCATGATTTTTTTCATTATACCAATCTGCTGAATATTGTCTTGTTTGACTGATTTAATCATTTGGTTTTTAAGATATAAGAAAGTAGTGAAAAATATTTTTATTCGATCACTCAGACCACAGTCAGCCAATCAGAAGAGAGGCTCAGAACCTCCTCTCTTCTGATTGGCTCACCGACCTTTTGGGAGAGGGAGGAGATGTAAAACTAAATTGAGATTGTTTTTGGTTCTTAAAACCACAAATATATCTTCTTATGGATCAACACTTCAAATATAACACAGGAAGTGAAGTTTCAAGAATAAACGGCCTTCATTTGACTTCATATTGTAATTTTCTCGATTGTGTGCCGTCTCTGAACACTGGTCCTCCATCTGGAGTTTTCTTACCTTTTTTGAAGTGAAAAAGTTAAGAGAATAAATCGGGAGATAAATCATTCATATTCTGAGTGGTTGTTATCTCATGTCCTTGCTCACATGTAGTAAGAAAGTGGATTACCTTCTCCCTGTTTACTGAAAGGGACAGCTGCCAACAAGTCTTGGCTGACCTTGTTTTGGGGGAAATTAATGTGCAGATTGGCCTCTGAAAGCTTCTGTGACTGATCAAAATGTTGTTTTAGATTACTTACAGGAGGCATAGCTTTAACTTTTAGCAGTAGAAAGTCCCTTCTTTCAGCTGGAGGGAAAATAAGTGCTCTCTCATAGATGCTTCATTTATTTATTCTTTTCATTTTGTTCCATCCTTTTAACATACTCGTCTTTTTTATCTCCATGTCCTCACACTCTATCTCGTCTTAAAAGAAAGTGTTTCTCTGACAGAGGGAGTTGTCCACACCGGTCCCTGACATTTAAACCCACAGTGTTGAAAACAGGTTTTACTTTTGTGTATTTATAGGTGTGTGTGCTGGAGCTCGACACTGTATGTGCTGTTATCGCTCTGGCCTCGGCAGAGAAACATGGCCAGTGACCTTTGTTGGAAATGTTTGTGAACATGTGTAGAAGTCGATAATAGAACAGGAAATAAAGCATCAATAAAGTCAAATATATTTTGCAAAAGTAGTTTGTTATAATGTGCGGTGCACAGAAGTGGAGCTGCAGCTAACAATTATTTTCATTATCAATTAATCATTTGTATTTAAAAATTCACAGACATGGCAGATATTCAGTTTACTGTCGTATACAAAAAAAACAGCAAAACCTCACATTTTAAAAACTGACACCAGAGAATATTCTGAACTGAAATGATTTACTGATTATCAAATTACTCACCACTTAATTGTTTCAGCTCTGCACAGGGAGTGCGAAGTATTGAATTATTGTGAGAAGTGACTGTTTGTTCTTATCTGAGCTGGTTCATTTGCAGCCTGTGTGGGTGTGACCTGATAGCAGAGATCACTGTTTTCATCCAGTTTATTTTCTAACTACACTCTACACCACAATCACACAAAAATATTGACAGGAAGGAGGAGAGAGAGGCGCTGAATGATCTGATCTCATCAGGTCACATGAAGTCTATATGCACTCAGTCGTCTTCCTATCTGAAACGTTGAATGTGTTGGGCTCATTCCAGCAGCAGAGTGAGTTGTAACATGACATGACTATTTTGAGGTCATGTATGGGTGTACAGTGATTAAATTTCCAACAAGACAAAAATATATACAATCGATAGCCACCATGTGAAGCTGTGATAATCATCACACACACACACACATGAAGTCAGAGACACAACTTTGGTCTTTGTTGATCTTTATCACTTGTGGCGCCAGGAGAAAAGGCAATTTTGTTAATTAAATCAAAAGGGTTTATCCTCTGTGCAGTCCATTCAGGACATGTCAGACTCGGCTCATTTGGCTCAGCTACACATTGCCAAACTTGGGTTCACTTTCATCTGTTCCCAGACCCAGTGGTGGCCACTTTGATTGGCCTGTGCTGAACCAGTCAGGTAAACTACAGTGAGAGATAACTGCCCTTACCTGAGCAGCATCTCAACAGGTTTGATATGTAGTCACTGGATCAGGACGTTTATTAGGATATTGCAGGGAGGCGGGGCCTTGTGGCCTAGCAGCTTGTACAACAACAATGGGCCACAGCGTCATCACTCCACGTCTGGCCGGGGACCTTTGTTACTCATCACCCCCCCTCCTCTCCACTGTCGTCTGTCATATAAAGGCGTACAATACCCAGAAAATATCAGGAAAAAATTTATCGCAGGTTCGAATAGTACAAGAAGAAACAGCCACAGCAAGATGTTCGATGAAGAACTGAACTTGATAGTAAACGGAGCCCATCATGTTGCCATGTTGTCTTATGGAGAACCAGCACGACTTGAATTCATGGTTTCCAGCAGCTAAATGGAAAAGGGTATAAGCTGCACATCTGTACTACAACAACACACACAATGACTCCAAAGAGACAAAAGAAGATTAAAAACAGATGCAAAAGGGCCTCAGAAAGATGCAAAACAATTCCAAGAGATAAAACAAGTAAATCAATGAAAAAATTACCTCAGCCACACAAACAACTAACAAAGATGAGAAATGAAAACATTCAAAATGCAAAATTTGACAAAATGACTTGTGCCCTCTTATGTAGTAGGGGTGGGGGCGGGGGCCTTTTACATGTCTGTGCCCAGTGGCCCATTGTCTTACAATCCGTCCGTGGTTAACCTGCTGGGCTTTAGACTGGCCTTCATAGCTGGCTGCTCATTCGTGGTGCCAACATGTTACTTTCACTTTGTATGGGGGACAGCCGAATGATTTCCACTGAAGTCAGGCTGGAAACGTGCAGACCTGACTGTGAACACACACACACACAGCAGCTCACATATCACACTGGAAATTATTATGAAGGTCAGAGCTTTATCATAGTGTTAGTTATTCTGTGAATGCAACTCCCATCAGTGCCAAATGGGTCACAGAGACCTTTCAGCTATGCAGGCTTCCCCACTACAACACACGCACACGCACACGCACACACACACACACACACACACACACACACACACACACACACACACACACACACACACACAAACACAAACACGCCTACTCTATACTGGAAAACACACACTTGCAGTTACAGTATACACTATTCAGAAACTCTATGGGAATCCACACACACACACACAGGCAGCAGTGTTGGCTTTTGTTTCTGGATCATTAACCACTTCAGCTGAAGTTTGTGAGCTGTAAGAAATCTTCCCTCTTGCTGAAACAGATATTTTGCAATCTTCATTTCTGTTGAAGTGTTTTTGTTTTGGGCTGGAAGCCAGAGGAGGGCAAGGCCTGTGTGTGTGTGTGTGTGTGTGTGTGTGTGCTACAGGGCCAACAGATTGAGCAATGAAAGAAAAAGGAGGTTTCTGAATCTGACAATAGTTTTAACTTTACATTTCACTGCTCAATTAGATGAACTTTGTGTGAAACAAGTCACAGAAAAGCCTGTTAACTCTGTTAACTTTAGTATAGTGCTTGACTGGTTTCACTCAATATTTGTCAGAAACAAAGTTTTGGGTAGTTCAGCTCATTCTGTGTCGTCCTGTTCCTGCTCCTCTGGGCAACATTATTATACCCTTTTCCCACCAACGTTCGGTACAAGCGGATAAACCCATTAATAAAAGCCGATTGACCCGTTTTCCACTGACAGTCGAATTTGCTTTTCTGTTCGGAGAGAAACACACACATTATTTCGGGGCTGCAGCAGGAGCGCAGTGTAACCGCTGTGTTTCTGGCTCAACAGCACCGTGCTGGACAGGACACAGGTGTGTTTACAGTGTGTGTGATCTGAAAGACGTTACAGCACATAAATGGGTGAAAATTGGCGTCTTCACCCAGATGTTGTATTTACATCAATTCCAAATCGAGCAGGAGCCGATAAATAAACGCGTCTACTGCAGAGTCATTTGACCCAGTTGTGAATGCTATTGGCGGGTCTTAGGGGTTTTTTTTGACCAGTGGAAAAGTGCCTTTTAGAATGATTTCATAATAATTTTACTTGTTTTTAAAGCCTTATATTAACCCAGAACCTTCCTATATCAGTGACTGCCTTTTTCTTGTGGCCTAATGTTGTTTTTAACCACTTGTGTTGCCCTCAGTCAGTGCACTAACTTCATGGTTCTCATGTGTAGAAATGTGTCTTTGGTTTCTCAGAACAAAAAAGAATATTCAAATTTAACATAATCAAACTCCACAGGAAATGTACCAGTTTCCCTCAGGTGCACTTTCACTTTGGTTGTTGAGCTGTGTCCTAGTTCCATAATATACACTACTAACTAAAGTTAATAATAATAAATAATTGCTTTTGGCATTACACATAATTTGGCAATAAGATTCATATAAAAATAGATCTTCAGAAAAACCAAAAATACATCATTTTAAAAGCAAAATAAATAAATAGAAATGTTATTCAACAACAATACAACAGGCTGGTTAGTAGAACAAAAGTATTAAATCTTTTGAAGAACATATGTGAAGTTTTGTTAGGAGTGACATGTTTGTTGTCGTTTATTTGCACATATTGCATAATTTCATGTTACAGAATTACATTACAGAAGAACATTCAAAATAAAATAAATCAAATATAATGGAGCAGTATCAAGGGCTGTAGTAAAAATAATTTAACCAATTACTCAACTGTGACACTAACAGTCAGTTGCAGCGTCACTATATACACTGTTGGTTCACAGTACAGAATTGGGACATGGCTTCGGACCCTCCTGCCTCTCTCCTCCCGTCGCTCACTGTTTGTCAGTGTGTGAGTCGTGATGCTGAGAGACGAGCGAGACGACGCTCACTAAAGACCACGGCTGTATTTAATAATGTGGAGAGGCAGAGCTGTCGCATTTCATTCACTTCTCTGTCTGTTCTCAGGACAATGTTATTAATGTAAAGGTCTTACTCCTACAAATTAAGCACGTGTGTGCACGTGTGTGTGAGGGATGTGACCTTGGATGATGCTTTTGCAAGCACACAGTTCCTCAAACACCCGGGACAATGGTCTGTTGTGAAAAAGGGGAAAGTTGAGATGAGTTGGGTTTCACAACTGGGCTGAAGTTTTACCAATCCGAAGGTGGCTGCAGCAAGAGTGTAGATTTTTATGACTGTTGTGGTGGAGACGTGTGGTTGAAGTGACACAAGTGACCCAGCTGGATGAACCTGCTTGGTCGCCCTGGGACACAAAGAAAGGCTCCGGGGCGCCTTTTTTACCTGTGGATTTGCGTTTTGGAACATTTTGTCTGTGCAGGAATGGCAGTGATTTGATCATACTTTGATAAATACATAAAATAATGAATATTCATTAGTGCTGCACAATTAATCTAAGGCCTCTCAAAAGTAGGAGCTTAAGGCCAGAAAGTCTCATTCTCAGTGAATATCAGCTGTGGCTTTTTGAATCCGTATGTGTGAACAGTGAAACATGCATAGAGAATGCCATCTCCAGTTGCAGCCCTAGCTTCAACAACACATCTTAAAAGTTGATATTGTGCTTTAGTGGTGCATGTTTCCAATTAGACTTTTGTGGGACTCTGGCCAGTTGCCTCCTCATAATCTATCTCTGAGCCCAGTGTTTTGTGAATGTGGGAAAAAACAGACAGTGGTGTAAAGACTTACCCGTTATATTTTTAATAATCATGTTATATTGTTTATTTCTTTGTTTGACAAAGACATGTTTTTTTGCGATTAAACCTCTTTATTGCTTTTTTTGTTATAGAAACACACATAGAAGATTCTCACATAAAATATAAAGTATTATATGGGCCCCATATCTTCCTGATGACATCTAGACTGTAATTAACTCTTCATTCATTGGATGTGTATTTCAGGGAAGGCAATGAACCTGGTGATGAGCTGACGGTGACCTACAGAGAGCTGCTGCAGAGGGTCTGTCAGTTTGCCAACGTCCTGAAGTCTCAGGGTAGGTTATGACACACCTGACACACACCTGGATCTGTGGGTGCACTGATCTGATACACTGATACTGATATAGATACTGACCTGATGAAATCCATATTATTGATATATCATTTACAATCTGTTTTTGGCTGCATCCCGCTCCTGTCTGACCTCGTCTATAGGCGTGAATAAGGGCGACCGTGTGTCCATTTACATGCCCATGGTGGTCGAACTGGTGGTAGCCATGTTGGCCTGCATCCGCATCGGAGCTGTTCACTCCATAGTGGTGAGTTAGGAGTGTGTGGTGTATTACAGGAAGTGTGTGTTTGTGTGTGACATGACCATGTTTGAGATGTTAACACTGTTTGTTCTGCTGTTTCCAGTTTGCAGGTTTTTCTTCTGAGTCTCTGTGTGAGAGGATCATGGACTCCCAGTGTTCACTGATCGTCACAGCTGGTCAGTTTCACATAAAAAAAATAAAATCCACACACATACACACACTTAATGATACCATGCTTCTTTTTAAATCAGCGTTGATGGTCCCGTAATCCAATACAGCTCTGGAAACATCTCATTAGCATTAAATTAACTAATGGGAAAAGCTGCATTTACATTGATTCTTAAGTGTTTCAAAGTTTTGTGTCTAGTGATTGTTGCAATGAGGTAAAATCCACAGGGTGGATGAGGAAGGTATGTCCCCCCTGTTCATACTGAATGTTGTTCTCTGACCATTCAGCCTTCACAGCAATTAGCAATTAGCTTAACAAGCAGCAGCAAGCAGTGCTCTGCAGACTTTTTTCTGCCTTGAGTTTCCTTTCTGTTGGTTTTTGTGTGAGAATCAGGTTTCTTGACCAGTAGGTTTTCACGTATGAGGAAAGAAAGATAAAGTAAAGCAATTACTGCAGGTCAATATCTTAAATATAAATGGAAAAAAAATGTAATAATAAAATATTTACAATGTCAAAAAATATAATAAAAAATATAAATATAATACAAATATGTACAGTGTGCAATATAAATGGGAGACTGTGCAAAAAAACAAGAATATGTGAGAAATGTGCAAGTAATCCGGACATATATTAGGTTTTGACCGAGTCTTGTTTTAGCTCTTTTGTAAAATACAGTTTAATTTTTAGTTTTATTGCTTTAAACCAACAAGACCCATTCAATAGTAAGAGCCACACTGAGTGACACAGCAGGTTAATATAACACCGGCTTTATCATTTAAATAACCCATAATTCTGTTTTTATTGTTATTTGAGGAACCAGGGACTAAGCAGGAAGAGGGTCAGTGTCTTGCACCTCGGCAGAACTAGTGGCTTTCAGTAGACGCAGCTCAGCTGTTACAGGGTGCTCACGGCGTCTCAGTGAGTCGAGCTCAATGGTTGAAACAAGCAACCGAAGGAGCTGCAGGCTGAGATGAGGTGCTGAGTTGTGACCAGTAATCAAAGTCTTATTATCTGGATTAGAGTCTGGGGATATAAACCTGTTAATCCACTGGGTTAATGGCCTGTGGTTGGAACCCACACACACACATTTTTCTCATTCATAGAAGTCCTGTAAGCGGATCACAGATACTTTAGCTCAGGGTCTTTTTATCCTAACAGACAGAGCACTCATAGAGTTTCATTACCTTGTAAAAAAGTATGAATACAGAAAATGTCTGCTGGATCTCATTCAGTTTAACTACTGTAGATAAAGTTTTGTAAACTATCTCTCAGGAGTTGAGGCGCTGCTGTAAACTGGAGCTTCACATCCACAGACTTGATAGCCATGAATAATACCTTTTGTTCTGTAGAAATTTAACTGACACTCTTACGCGAGCTGAAGAGGTAAGAAGTGTGAGCTTCCTTCATCACTGATATTTTACACTAACGCTGATTCAAATGACAAAGTGAAGGGAGTCGCTCTAAGTGATGAAGCTACAGAGAGTTTTACAGCTGTAAGAAGTCACTGTCCATCACCTGCTCTGCAGCAACCAGCAGACAGACAGTCAGAGAGCAGCTGGGGAACATAGTGGAGCATTTAGCAGCTAGAGAGCCAGATATTTCCCTCAGGAGCTGGTGGAGACCAAACACACACATTAAGGTATATTAATCTGTCTCCGATGCCTCAGACAGACAGAAATTTACCTCTTGCTCATTTGAGCAAAGGGCAGAGATGCTTTTATACAATTGTCCACCCAGTTTGTGAGAGAGGTTGAGATTGAACTCTCCTCTGGAGAGCACTGATTATTGCCTTGTTTTAAAAAAATGAAACCTATAAAGGAGGGATGCCACATGGCTGGAAGTAACTGTAAGGACAGACATAGATTGTTAAAGAATAGGCCCATTTTAACTCAATCACATGACAAATGGACATGAAGCGATATCTTTATAGCACAACTACACTGTCTAAGATGGGGGACAAAATCCGCAGTCTTCATGCTCTTCATAAATGGACCCTGAGGTTCAGCTGGAGCTAATATGAAACTTAGGGATTTCTCCACCGTCAGTACGAACCGGTGGAATGAATACAGCGACCAGTGACTTTAAATATATCTGTGGCATCATGTGCAGGTTGTTTTAAGGCTGATGTATAAAAAACACAGAACACTTCATTTAAGATGAAAATGTTTGATAAAAGAATCACTTTCATTATTGGTTAGCCTGCTAGCCATGCTACGTCCTGCATTATTATTTCTCAGACCTTCTGTTGACGACTGCAGCTTAAATTTAGCTTCTTTACTTTCGCCCTCTGTCTCTCTTCGTCTGTTTCTTTGTTCATCTGTTTTTATCTCTCACTCGTTCAGACGGTTTCTATCGAGGAGATAAGCTGATCAACCTGAAGCTCTTAGCTGACGAAGCACTGCAGAAATGCAGGGACAAGTAAGCTGTACACACACACACACACACACACACACACACACACACACACACACACACACACACACACACACACACACACACACAGATAAAGTTTATACATACAGCAGCAGAAGTGCAGGGACACACACAGACCCTTCACCATCAGTGAACCAAGTTACCATTACCAAGTTTTTAACCCAAATTTGGTTTTATAATTCTACTTCAGCAACAGTTCCCCCAGAGAGCTGATTTTAAAAATAAGGTTACAGCAAGAATATGTATCAACACTAAATGTACTATTAACAATATGTTAAATGTGATATTAATCAGAAGAAAACATGTTTGGTTGAGCTTTAGTTTTTACATAAACAACCAGATAATAGAAAAAAAAGAGACTAGAGAGGAGAGGTCAGGAAAGCACAAAGTTTATCTGAGTTTATAGATAGAGCAAAGAAATTATACCAAACTAATAAGTACAACATGCTTTAAAGAAATGCAAAGATAATAAAATAAATGAAGTGAAGAAGAAGAGTTCAAAGGGCAAATCAGCTGAAATATAGAGAAAATAATTATATGTAATCAACAACTAATTAAACATCACAAGTGAAATGTTTTGGTGTTATTACAAACAAACAAATTTTGTTTTATTTCACTAGTGAAACATTGCGATTTCACTCCCAACGCACATATAACAATGTATGTCTTAATGTTGATGAGGCGTGAACAGTGCGACCTCTTTGAACTCACTGCAATAAACTCTCCACACATGGATCTGTGCATGACGGACCACTTCGGTTCTCTCTTGCAAAACAGGTAAACATGTCTGGATCCAGATAGATCCTTCAAACTTGGCAGCATTCTGGTGCATCTCCTCACTTCAGTAATACTAGTAATGAATAGTTAACTACTTGAAAAATGCCATTGCAGAGCTCTAGAAACCAGAGACCAGAGAAAAACCTGCAGATTTTCTCACAGGGGTTTGAGATTGCGATCACCACCACGTCTCTTGTCTGTGCAGGGGCTTCCCGGTCGAGAAGTGTATAATGCTGAAGCACTTGTCCAAAGGAGCAGAAGAGACTTCTCTGGGCTCTCAGTCTCCTCCAGCCAAACGACCATGTCCCGATCTGCAGGTAAAGCACAAACAACAAACCCAAACTGGGACGTTTTACCCCAGTCCAGGCCCAGGGAGGAGGGAGGGGGGTAACTGCAGCCTGTTGTTAAAACATTAGTTTAACCTGTCATCCATCAAAGTCCCATCATAGTCTATCCTCTATACGTTAAGTTAATTTAAGTTCACATTTTCCCCAAGAAAACATCATCGCTTTGCTCCTCGCATGTTTGTCAGGTGAAACACGAGGGGGTCAGTTTTACCAGCGTGTGAACAACACTGATTTTCGAGAGACACACTGTCACACCGGTGGTTTGGGTCTGTTCATGGGATTTATTGACAAGAAGACAAATATACAGTAAAATCAGGATTCTCGTTAAATATAATTGTATGGGTTAGTGTAGAAGTAGATGCCTCTGACTTCAGGCTGAGATTCTTCCTGACTCTTCCTCAGCTGTTTGTTTGATTTGTTTTCAAACTCAGAAACACTGTGGATCTTTTTCTGTGAAACTGGCCCCGTACAATCAACATTTTTTTTTTTCTTACATAATCAATCTCCTAGAACTTCTCTCTCAGCTTGATTTGACATTGTGCATCCTGTTTTTTTTTTGTGTTCTTCAGTTAAAATAACCCCTCTCCCTCCTTAACTTCTCCTTCCTACTCCTTCCTCCTCCTCCTCTTCCTCCTTTCTTCCCTCCGGTCCAGCAGGAGAAACAGACAGGGAGAGTAAAGAAAACACGCCCTGTTCCGCAGGTATTTTCATTCCCTCCTCCCTCCACTAAACCCCCCATAACATCTTTGTTTTGCCTTTTTTTAAAGGGGAATTTCACCCACGAGCAGAATTTACATTTTACTGCTGTGAACACGGTAAAAAGAATAAACTTTAATCCAAACTGAAGTTAATTGTGTTAGAGGGATCAATTTTGCTGTGTTTATTGTTGATTTATTGTTTTTACCGAGCAACAGTAGATTGTTATTCCTGTGATCATTGACGGTTCAAATGACACTTGTGTGAACATGGAAAGTTATTTTCCCTAATTTAGAAACAAATTAACTTAAATTTAGTAGTGGGCATATTGTCTATTAGAGTATCTGCTGACATTAAAATCAGCTGCTGAAAATTAAACAGACACAATTAAATTAACTCACTAAAGAATGAAATTATATTTTAAATTGGCAGATTTGTGAGATTTTGTGCTACAATTCGCAATAGAATCATAATTAAGAGCTGAATAAATAAATATAAAATACAGAGACAACATTAGAAATGTGATAGTGTTGCTCATGTTCTCAGAGGTTTGCTGGAGTGTCCGAACTCACGGGAATAAAATGTAAATTCTGTGTGAGCGTGGAGTTGCATTAACACTGTTTTCTCTTTTTGTATCTGTTGTGAACACACGTTCTGTTTTGTCGTACACCTTCGGCCACACATTGTCTGTAGCTTTTGCACACGGCCCAAAATGTGCGGCTGCCTCTGAAGTGTGTTGTGTTTTTCTGTCGCTAACATAACAGCTGTAACATTTCTCTCTTTCACTGACAGACCACAAGTCAGAAAGAATCAGGGCTCTGTTGCTGTGGTTTAAATAAACACAGATTTAAGTCCTTTCTGAAGACCCCAGTTCTCTGCAGACAGGACTGGAGTTGGTATTTTGGGTTAGGGTTAGCGGTTAGTTAGTAGGTGCTAATTCCCTGCTAAAAATTAGATTATTATTGTAAATTTTATGTCAGTATAACAGGATAACATGACTGTTTCCCTATAAAAACTTTGACACTGTGGATAAAAACTCAAGCTGAGGCGTTTCATAAACGTCCTCTCACTCTCCTGCATCAAACTATAAGCTGACTCTACAAGAGAGGAGGAAAAATATGATATGTTAAATTAAGAGCATGAATTAAGTATTTTGTGTGTATGAATTATTAATTTGAGAGCACATGCATTCAAACAACCAATATCCCAGACTGTATCTGTCTGTCATAACATTTAAAGACTTAAAAATCCAATATTTACATTTTT